TGCTTGGTGGTAGGTCTATTCAACTCCTTATCTATAGCAGGACATCAAATTTCCTATTTACGATCGATTTGATTATTATGGGCTGATTGACTTGACTTTTTTAAGAGGTATATGTCCCAATATTTTATTTCTTGCTAATTTTCTATTTTTAATTTCATTTTTATCCATGTATGATCTGTGGTTATTATAGCTAGTCATTTAACAATCATAGGTCCTATGAGACTTTTGAAAATATTTTTGGTATAAAACACAAGAAGGTAACATACAACTGAGACATACTAGCTTTAGATCATCATCTAACTGACATATATAGACCACATATTTATAGTTAATGAAAAATTGTCTAAGAGCCTTGTTTGATACATAGTGGAGGTTTCTTCTTAAATTATGCTTGTTTTTAAACCATTTCAATATTGGTGGAGCGTTGTTTAATAAAAATGTCCCTTTTTTTTTTAGAAATGATGATGTTATCATCCGTGTTGGATAGTTCTGAGCTAGCTATACCCAGTAGGATCATTATGGACTCCAGTCTTGAGAAAGTCTTAGTTGTAGACGAAACACGTAGACCTCTAGACCATTCTACTCACATTCAGCACTGATTCTCCAGCGTGAACTCTCCTACCCAGCAATGATTCCTGGGTGCAGAAACTGTCAGCCAAAGTGAACTTACACACATACCTTTTGGCTGGCAGATCGGTGTGCTCCCCCAGCCTGGCGTGAGGTGCGGTGAACAGGGTAAGTTGGGTAACTCCCAGAGTTTATTCTGACTTGTGGTCCCAGTGCAGCACCCATAACTCTTCCTCATCTGCATGGTGGTTTTCAGAGCTCCCTGCCTCTTGGATATTATTAGCCTTCTTTGATCATTTTGTTTATGGCAACGGATTATGTCTTTTTATTTTTTGATCCAGGACATATTCAGTGTAGGGGCCCTACGTTGAACATCACATACTTGTCTTTTTAGAGTGATTAGTTGAACCTTGCTATTTTCTTATTAGTTTAGTGTTATATATGGTTCTCATGTATTGATTTTATACCTGTGATATCTATCTATGTTTGTCATATTAATATATGTCATTATATAGATTCATACTTTTTATTGGTTAATACTCTGAGAGTCTTTTTATATTCAAAAATAAAAAGCTTAATGTATTCATTTGTATATATTTGTTATTTCTGATCTATATTTGAGTGGATCAGGGTCTTATTTATGCTTTACAATATTTCGTGAGATGTGTAACTACATGTTGTCAAATTTCAAAGATCTGTGATATATTGTATCCTTATATTTGGTCTGAGACTGGTGATTATTATTGGAGCGCTGACATATCTGCATTAATCCTTGTGTTCTGTATATCTTCAAGTTGCTCAAATTGATTGTGACGCAGCCTTTTAACTTATATATTTATAATAAAACATTATTTGAATATATCTATTCCTCTAATTCAGCTCCTTGTTCAACTTTTATCTTTTACAATATTTCAAAACCAAATGAAAGATACTCAATAATGTATATTTATTTTTGAATGTAATTAGTACCTGCAACAACTTTATCACTATATATCATTCTAAGAATTGCACAATGTTATCATAATGATCATAACAGGCTACCATTATATATAATATAATTATATTTTATATCATATATATATAATCATATATTATAGTGTTTATATTAAGAATATGAGTAAACAGCAGATGTTTCAATTTGAGTCAGTCAAAACAATACACCCAGTGATATATGGAGATGAAATAACTCAGTATTTGTAAAAGGTACTCTGTGTTTAAAACCATGGTTTGTGATCAAAAAATTAATATAAAGAGAGCTCAGACAAACTGCAACAAACTTGCTTAAAATATCTATCAAGAGACCGAGCAAGATGGCCGCTTAAGGACTTGCTCCGGCATCGAGCTCTCACAACCCAGCATTAAAAGGCAATACCAACCGAGACAAGTCGAATCCAGCGGGGATGTCCCACCACAGAACGAAGAAGTCAGCCCTAAAAACTGACAAAATCAATTTTTTCGGCCACAAAAGCCAACCTTCGCAAGCGGCCTCACCGCGGGAAGCCCAAGATGGCGACGGGGACTCGGATACAAGCCTCCCCGCGGCAGAGCATGCTCCGGCTGACAACATCACGAAAACATTCTTGGCACAAGCCCTGGACTCTTTGTCTAACAAACTAATATCCTCCTGGCAACATACAGCCGAGACCTTGAAAAAAGAAATACAGGAGATGGGAACCCGTACAGCACAAATTGAGGAGAAAATGGGGAACTTTGCTTCCGCTCATAATAACATGGCAGACCACGTCCAGCACCTGGAGGAGAAGGTTGAAAAGCTGGAAGCACAGATGGCTGATGCTGAAGATAGGGCGCGGAGGAACAACATTAGACTCCGAGGGGTACCGGAATCAGTTCAACAGGCGGACCTCCAAGCCTATGCACGAGGCCTGCTAAGGGCCTACGCGCCAGACATCCCGGCAGATATGATGTTAATTGACCGCATCCACCGCGTCCCTAAACCGACTTACCTACCAGACTCCACACCGCAAGATGTGCTGTTCCGGGCCCACTTCTTCCACATTAAGGAATTGGTCCTCAAGGCGAGCCGCACGCGGGAGCAACCGCACGAAGACTACCCAGGGGTAAAACTCTTCAATGATTTATCGGCAGCAACGTTAAAGAAAAGAAGAACATATCACCAGGTAGCAGAAGCTCTACGACAACACGGCACCAAGTACCGCTGGGGCTATCCGACCAAAATGCTGGTCCAACATGGCGGAACACTCAGACCCATTTCCACGCCGGAGGAGGGCATCAAGCTTCTACAAGAATGGAACATACCCATCCCGCCGACTGAGCCATACAAGCACCCGATCAGGAAAACTGCACAAGAGTGGAGCAAAGTTCGCAAGAGACTTATCTAAACTGGGACTGCAAAGCGCAAGTATCACACACACACAAGCATTACACTACATTTATATGGTCACTCACGCATACACCCACGAACATACGAACTGAGCAAAACACGGAGCGGATTACCCAGTCAATGGGCCGCGAAGCACAGCCAGCCCACCCTGTTATATACGAGGACAAACTCAGAGACTAAACCAGAAGGGCTGGTTCCAACTCACTATGTTCCACAACATAACACTTTTATTTTATTGTCTCTTTTTACTGGTTTCACAGCCACAAGTATCCGCACTGGGATGCGTATATAAACGGGCGCCCCCGGGCAACTAAGTCTGGTATACATCAGGGACCAGCGAGTGCACCTCTTAATGAGAACGAATGGGCCAATATGCTCATGAATGTATAGGTCACACCCGACAATGATAGACGTGTTGCTTCTCTGAGAGAGGTATAGGGCGAGGGTGGCGGCTCGCTGCCGGAGCTGACCGCGGGGTCCACTCCACCAAATGGCTGACGAAGCAGGCTGGCATGGCCCGCGCGCGCCACAAGGGCTGGGCTGCGCGCGCGGGACATGGGCCGGGCAGAGGCTATAGCACCCTCCTCTGGATAGCCAAGAGGGGTGTTGCTGAAGACTGGGCCCCCGGGGGGTTCGGGTGGTGGGACACCAACACAGACTCCAATGCCGGGGTCGAGCAATGCACCCTTATCGTGGGCACGCCAGACACAAATAGGGAACTGTGCACCAAAGTAATCAAAGGGATCCTACTAGTCACGCCTTTATACTACACCACATTTGCTAAACAGAGCTCAACAGCCACTTATGGGAGATCTAAACAACTCCTGCCCTCGAGGTGTGGACTATCCACACCAAACCCTCCTTGGAGGGAACCTTGTTTCACTCATCCAAGTTTCTTTACCCCGGCTTCGACCCAACCCCTACACCCACACCCAGGAGAGAATGGTACTAGGAAAGCCATACATCCAAACTGCAATCACTCCCCACCCCCCGCACGACAGGGCATCCACACATGAACTGCGGAGAACAATGGAGCAGCAATCCAACCTGAACCGATGTCTATAACAATAAGAACCCACAACACCCGAGGGTTAAACCACCCACATAAACGCCGCACTCTCTTAGAAGCGGCAAAACACGACAACATAGACATCTTATGCGTCCAAGAAACGCACTTCGAGACAAAGTCCCTACGTTCGGACTTCAAGATTATCCAACTCAGTTCCACTCCACATACTCCTCTAAATCCAAGGGAGTGTCGCTCCTAATACACAACTCACTAACGTTTGAACTACTGCGACTCAACAAGGATACACAAGGGAGATATATCATACTGCACTGCATGATCAACGGCACCGAATACATTCTGGCAGGCATATATAGTCCAAACACAAACCAAAGACAATTTCTGCAAAAAATCTTGAATAAACTCCCGAATCCGCTACCCGGGGCCACGATTATCTGTGGTGACCTAAACCATGTATTGGACTCCCGTATAGATACAACACTCCCTGACCGCTCCCCACGACACACTACGACAGACGCGCAAAGCAAAGCCATACTCAAGCTGATGGTAGAAAACGATCTATACGATGCATGGCGCACATTACACCCCACTGACAAAGAGTTCACGTATTTCTCACAAGTCCACAAATCATTTTCCAGAATAGATCATATACTGATCTCGGGAACGCTAATACCTAGCACTACCCAGTGTGACATTGGCGACATAGTGTGGTCCGACCACGCGCCGATCACGATTACGCTGAAAGGCACTTTTCCCCACAGGAGCCGGGCGCCCTGGCGCCTAAACAACTCCCTACTGCATGACACCACTTTCCTAGCACAGATGACACAAAACCTAGAACAATACTTTCAGACCAACGACACCCCAGACGTTTCACCCACCTCATTATGGCAGGCACATAAACCAACCATAAGAGGGATACTAATCAGCAGAGCCTCACACATCAAACAAACATCCAACCAAGAATATCTGACCCTGCTACGTACACTCAGGGATGCCACAGCCGCGCACACAGCATGCCCAGATGCGACCCAGCTCACGACAATGGAGACCGCAACACGCCGCCTAAACGACATCCTCCTTGCTAAAACGTCATATGCTATGCAACGCCTGAAGGTGAGACAATACTCCCAGGGCAATAGAGCAGGGAGAGCTATGGCAGCACTGCTACAGAAAAAGCAAGCCCAATCTAAAATCCCCTATCTAATTTCCAATGAAGGGACAAAAATCTACAACCCCAAAGATATTAACGATGAGCTGGCCAACTTTTATCATAACTTATATAATTTAAAGCAAGACAGCAATACCCACCAACCCCAAGAAACAGAAATTGAGCACTTTCTAGACCTCACACACCTGCCACCGCTGACACGGCAACAAATAGAACTGATACAGGCACCCATAACTACCCAAGAAATACTACAAACAATAAAATCCTTACCGTCAGGGAAATCCCCAGGCCCAGATGGCCTAACAAAACAAAACAAAACATTCGCTGAAACATTGGCCCCCCACCTGACCCCAGTGTACAATCACATCACAACAACAGGCATAATGCCAAAAGAGATGCTCATGGCACACATTGTAACGCTCCCCAAACCAGGGAAACCACCAAACAAGAGCCAAAATTTGCGTCCGATCTCACTCCTCAACACGGACACAAAAATATTAGCTAAAATATTCGCCAACAGACTGGCCCCAATTATACCGACACTGATACACGCAGACCAAGTGGGGTTTGTGGGGGGACGCCAGGGAGCCGACGGGGTGAGAAAAGTACTGGACTTACTCGGTGGGCTGCGGGGGGGAGGCGTGCCAAGCGTATTGGTATCTCTAGACGCGGAAAAGGCTTTTGATCGCCTTCATTGGCCCTTCCTCCACGCGGTTCTACAGAAATTTGGATTTCCCCCACGATTCACTGCACTGATACACGCACTGTATTCATGCCCCTCAGCTAGGGTAGTGAATGGGGGCTTCTCCTCCAACAGCTGCAACATATCCAATGGCTCCCGCCAAGGTTGTCCCCTATCTCCGATATTGTACATACTCGCCCTGGAACCCCTTACACAGCTAATTAGAAGTGATCCTCAAATACAGGGTATCCGAGTAAAAAACAAAGAATACAAGATCACACTATTTGCGGACGACATCCTCCTCACACTGCAAAATCCACAGGTCTCACTGGCCGCTTTACACAGGTTGATACACCAGTATGGGAACTGCTCATACTACAAACTAAACATATCTAAAACGCAGGCACTGGGAATAAACATCCCACAGATAGAGCTGACAGACCTTAAACAAAGGTTCGCATACGAATGGCGTACGGACCACCTCAAGATCCTAGGAATAGCCTTAACAAAGTCCCTAGCAGGTATCCACAAAGCAAACTACACACCACTCCTCACAGAGCTCAAAAACCTCATACATAGTTGGAAAGGGAAATTTATCTCATGGGTAGGCAGGATAGCAGCAGCAAAAATGCTACTCCTCCCGAGAATACAATACCTATTTAGAACTATCCACCTGGTGGTACCCAACAGCTATCTACGCGAACTACAGAAACTGATTAACACATTCATATGGAATAATGCCAGACCCAGAATAGCGAAAGCCACCCTACATAAACCATTCTCACCAGGAGGCATGAGTCTACCAAACATAACAAACTATCACAAAGCAGCCATTCTAAGCCAAGTGCTACATGTTAGCGGCAACGCCAAACCCCCGCAATGGGTGCAGCTGGAAGCGTTCTATACCAACAACTTCACCATCTCGGCCCTAGCCTGGATGTCTAGAAAACTAAGACCAAAACACAAGGACATGCTCCCTACCACGAAATTCACACTACAGATCTGGGACCAGTTTAGGGACAAGTATATAACAAAAGGGGGCATCTCCCTGGCAACACCCATTGAAACACTAGCCCTGCTTATACCAGGATTTAACTCCAAAATGTGGCAAACCCATAACATCACACACCTCTTCCACCTGTGCCAAGGCTTGGCACTGATCTCATTTGCTGAGGTCCAAACACAATACGGGGTACCCAAAACAGCCCTCTTCATGTATATGCAGCTTACGTCTTGGCTTAACTCGCAAAAAATATGCTCGTACCATACTGTAAATGGTCTTCAGCTGACGGAGGTGGAAAAAATCAGCCTTAACTTACAACCGCGTAAGAAACTAATATCCCTGGTCTATGCAATATACAGCACCACAGCAGCAACCCCAGTCCATACATTTACAAAAGCATGGGATCGAGAAATACCGAACCACATAACGGAGAGCCAATGGGCCCACATTTTCCGGGCACATAAGAACCTCTCACTGTGTGCCTCCCATATGGAAATCACACGGAAAATTTTGTACAGATGGTACATGGTACCAGTGCGCCTTAAGAAAGACAACCCAAACATACCAGACACATGCTGGCGCTGCCTAAGCGGCAAGGGCTCTATGCTGCATATTTGGTGGTCATGCCCGAAACTGAAGCAATTCTGGTTAGACATCACCGCCATGATACGGGAGACCACAGGAGTCGACCTCCAGCATTCCCCCGAAATATACTTACTACAATTATTTCCAAAAGGCCTACGTAGAACCCACACATATCTCATATATCATATCATAGTAGCAGCCCTCCAAACCATTAGCAGACATTGGCGCGACCCAAACCCACCGAAAATGGCTCAATGCATAACAGCATTACAGCTAACAAAACAATACGAGCTAATGGCGCGGAAAAATACGCCACAAAAACCATTTATAGCGGCAGCCTGGGAGCTATGGGAGAAACACATAGCAACTACGTAGAGTTGGGTCCAATGCAGATTCACTTCTTAAGTTCGAGTCACATAAACCACTCCGACAGCTGAGACCATCCAAATGGGGAAAACCTGTTCAATAGACCACGCAATAAGAAATGTATGCACCCATGCAATGTATCTAAGTACGGCATTAGGTTATCGCTCAGGCATAGAGCAACTATATAAGGTAACTGCAATATACAGACACTACATGATCTCTAGAGAACACCATCGCTTCTCCTGGACCCCCTTCCCCTCTTCCCCCCCCCCCCTCTACCCTTGTTTACACCCTATCTTGGTTATACTGTTAAACAATCAACAAGTAAACAAAGAAGGAGACAAGCATTGTGTAACAGGACTGTATATGATGAATACCGATGTCTGCAACAAATCCCTGTTGTACTCCATATGTGTCAATTTGTTGATATGACAAAATGCAAAATAAAAAAAATAAAAAATAAAAATAAAAAAATATCTATCAAGAGATGGAATTATAACGGTTTTGCGAGATTCTGTCTGCATGGCCGCACAGAAACACAGCGGTCATGCCGACAAAAATACCGCTATCCGACCTTCTTCCTTCCCGGTCCCCAGCATGTGCAGCGTTCCTAGAGAACTCGGAACTGCGGCTCCGGTTTTAATAAGGATATAGCCTTTGCCCACATTAAAGATGGCGCTTACGTGCGTGTGACGTGTAGAGAAGGTGAAGGGCCCTGGATTGGTAGAGACATCACCAGCTGCTAGAAGCAGGGGGAGAGAAAGTGACAGGAGGTGTGAATGGGTTTTGTATGCATGTGGTCTAGGATGAGATTGATTGTGGGTAGGAGTGAGAGAGTAGAAAAATGAGTACAAAGGGTGAAATGAGAGAAGGTGGGAGTGTAGCAGAGAGGGGCATATGTAACAGTGGGTGGTGGATGAATGAAGTGGTTGTAAGGAGAGATTTTTATACTGAGGAAGAAGGAGGAAATAAAGAGGAGGAGAAGACAGATCATTGCTAAGATGGGAAAAAGTAAATTGGAAATAATTGGAATATTAAGAGCAGGTGAAGTTAGGGTAAATATTTAAGTTTTATGGGTTAAGCAAGTGCAGGAGTGTACTAATAAGGGGCAGTGTGTACATCTGTTATTTTTACTTAATATTTGGCTGTGACAGATAATTTATAAATGTAATAATGAGCATTGGGTAGTGAGGGGAGAGTGGGTATCAGACTTCTTACAGCAGTATCTGTGTTTGATAGTTTTGATATCAGGCTGTTGAATAAAGATATATAAGGGTCACATAGGCTTGCAATAAAGCTGAGGGAGATGGATATCTATCTAGGCACAGAGATTAAGAGATGGTTATTCAAATAAAAACAAACATATCAATAAAAGAAGGGAGGGGTCAGAGGTCAGTCAGAAATCAGAGGGAAAATAGAGGAATGCATATAGGTAAATAAAACAATTACATACAGGGCTAGCAAAACTACACTTTAGCATGACAGACAACTACACTTTAGCATGACACTCTTTCAAATACTTGGGTATGTTGTTAGACCCCAATCTGTCTTTTGGCCTCCACATAGAAAACTTGCATCTAAACTTTATCCAAAAGTAGGTGGCCTGTACAGAAACAAATCCTGCCTAAGCCCTACAGTAAAGGAAAAGATTGTACAGCAAATGCTGATGCCAATCATTGATTATGGGGATGTAGTATATGCATCTGCATCGCAATCCCACATTAATAAACTCAATACATTGTATAACTCGTTCTGCCGATTTGTGCTACAATGTAATTACAGGACCCACCATTGTGACATGCTAAAAGAACTAAACTGGCTGTCGCTGGAATCCAGACGCACACTTCATCTTTCCAGCCTTGTGTTTAAGAGCTTTTCTGGGAAACTCCCACCCTATCTGAGCAAAATGATCTCCTCGGCTGTTCCCACCTCCCCTAACCTCAGATCCAGACTTTATTTAGTCTACCCAGGGATGTATTTACCACAAGGCAAACAAGGCATTTGCCTAGGGTGGCCCTTTCAGGGGGGTTGCCAAAAAATGCCACCCCAAGCTCCCAGACAAATGCCTTGTTTGCCTCATGTTCTGGGGCTGTTCACCTTACAGTGAGTGAGTGTACCTGTCAGTGTGTGTCTGTGAGTGAGTGAAAGTGTGTGTCTTTCAGTGAGAATGGGTGTGCCTGTGAGTGTGTGTCAGTGTGTGTATGTCATTTTATGTGTAGCTGGTTGATTAAATATTTCCTACCTGTTCTATGTTAAATGTTGTATATATTGTGTATTAACATTGTTTTTTGTATTTTATTGTACCCTAATGTATCAATGCCATGTTTTGTGGACCCAGGACATACTTGAAAACGAGAGAAATCTCAATGTATCTTTCCTGGTAAAATATTTTATAAATAAATAAATATAACAACAAGAAAATATACAATGCACACAGGATATATAAAATAAAATAAATGTACAGGGTGGTTAGATTAAATATAAATGATGCTGTGCAGGATAGAGTCTTAGTGTGGTCTTCCAGAATGCTACCTTGCTTATTGCAGATGATCAGCTGATGGAGCACAGACTTTCTTGCAGCAGTATTGGCTATAGAGCCTGTATAGCACCCTCTGTTGGTGGCAACAGCAATATGCACTACCTGAATAGCAAGGCTGGCTAATTTGCATATTCAAGTACATTTGCATATTCCTAATACTGCAGGCTGAAGAGATATTTTGTGCTGGTTATTGTCTTCCCCGTCCCTTTATAAATATGTTGTTATGTATTTATAATTCCCTGTATGTTTTCTAACATGTGTTGGTTATTTGTATTTTAGTAAGTGTGTCACAACAAGCTTATTATAACAAACATATGGGCTAGTCCCAAGTAAAATAAAATATTGCATGTTAATTCAATTTTGAACTGGGTGTCCTGTGTGGATTTTTAGGGATCCCAATTGACAGAGTCTTCCAACCCATTTGCTGGCTGCACAATCTCTCTAGCCCTGGAATAAATCAAAAGAGTTAGACCTGAGAGCCGAAAGTGCCTTTCTAAAGGCAATAGCAATCCCCATAAGCAAAGCTGCAGAGGGAGCTATACCTGCCTGAAAGGAGATCTGCAGCCTGATCGGGTGGAAAAACGCCAGAGAGACCCCAGTCAAGCTTCGGCAACTGAGGCTGAAACGTTCCAGGGTCCTTGCAAGCAGCTAGGAAGCGGACTGTGCAGAGGTACTTGATCGGAGTACTGAAGCTCTGTTACACATACCAATGTTTTAATACAGTTGGAGGTTACTGAGTTTAATAACAGGGGTGGTGGGACGCAGCTAAGCTTGGGAGGTGATTGCGTGGAAGCACTGACAGACTGATAGGATAGCGTGAGCGCTTTACTTTGGTACCCTCTTTTCCTATCTTCCTTTGTAGTGTGCAATTGAACATACATTGAAGAGTTTATTGCTGCCCCATATAAAACCCTAATTCAATTTAGGACTGACTGGGTTTACGGATGTTGGTCTTCTGGTTTACTCTGTTTACGACATAGCAGATTTGGTCATAGTGACCATTTCTGCTTCATTGTTTGAAATTGGGAATTGGGTAATTTTACTTTTGAGAATATACTCATGTTATTTCCTCTCTTGTTAGATAGTTGAAGCAAACTGATCCCAATATTAAGTTCTATCTCTAGTCTGAACTGAAGTTTGGGAAATGTCATCCCATTTTTCATCTCAAATTTAATTTGCTAGATACTTTCTTACTAAATCACATTCATGATCTGTCTCTTGATAGAGCTCTCTTTTCAGTCATTTTTTTATTCACAAACCATGGTTTTAAACACAAAGTGTCTTTAATAATATTGCGTTATTTCATCGCCATATTTCCCCAGGGTGTATTGTTTTGACTGACTCAAACGGAAACATCTGCTATAAACTCTTCACTTTAATAGTAGCCAATTTGAATTATGTTCAGTATGTTAACATTGTGCAGTTCCTAGAATGATATATAGTTATAAAGTTGTGTCAGGTTCCTATGATGATATATAGTCATAAAGTTGTGCCAAGGTCTTAGAACGATATAGAGTAATACGGTTGTGGCAAGTTCTTAGAATAATATATATCATGCTGTTTTATTTACGCTTTAATCAGACACTAAGGGCACTGCTGCAGGATGTGCCGGGCAGCTAACAGTGCATAAAATAGGTGGTTCTAAATTAAAATATGAGCAATAAATTATTTTTCAAATATACATTTTGTTTCAGAAAGCATTTAATGAGGCCGTCAGCCATGGGAGCTGTGGCTAGGGCTGAATAAACAAAGTAATTTAACTCCTAAATGGCAAAGAACTGAGTAGTGAAACTGCAAAGGCATAGTCTATACATCAAAACCACTTTTTAAGTCGTTCTCACAGTGTCCCTTTAAGATATTATACCTTTTTTTTAACTTCCATGTTCCTTTAAATATGTACTCATCTATGTTTTTTCAAATGTCACTTTCTTAGCTGTGCCCAAGAGTGAATGAAGCTCTTGCTATCCTCCAAAGAGAATTAGACACATTTCAAGGTGAGTCTGAACCCCTTGTATTCATAATCACACTATAGTAATAGAAAAAAATAATAATTGAAAAACAGCAAAAAGGGAAAACATACACAGAAAATGAAAAAGTAAAGAATAATAGTTGTCAAGTAATTATCTGTAATTATCTGTTATGCTGCTTTAATCAACCTCTGCAAACATTTGCTTGAAATTAACTATAGAAATACCTTAATGTAATAAACCCAGCACTGAAACCACTACAGTTGGGTATAGTGTTCATGGTGCCAGGAATGTGCCCGTTGGCCTTCACTACTACCAACAGAGAGCTGGAAGCTCCTAAGCAGAAGCTATCCTGAGCTAATCCCTGCATTGGTTGAGAGCATTGGCTGATATCTCTTAGCCAGTGAGCCAAGCCCTGCACAACTATGTTTAGTTCAGACAAAGAGCTTCCGACTCTATGTCAAAAGTAGTAGAGATGCATTACCAACCAAAGCTAACAAGTCAAACCGTTCTAAAATGCCTTGACTACTTACAATAAAAACTCTAGGGTATTCCTGGCACGATAACCTCTACATGGGTGTAAGTCAGTTGTTAAGACGTGTGTACATTTGTACATTTCATAATGTCATAGTGAGTCATACCCAACCAAACACCAGGCTGGTTTCCTTTGTTTCCGAACTAGTGTTATTGTTATGCAGATATTTATTTTAAAGATTACAGACTATTTTAAATTGCCAAAGTTGCAAAATGTATTAACTGTTCGTTGTCAAATGTCAGGACCTTACCTTCCTTCTTCTCAAAGCCCACCTCCTTTCCCATTGCTGTTCCACATAAGATAACAAGAACCTTTCATACAAAGTGTACATACAAAGCATACATACAAAAAGAGCTATGCAATGTCAGTGTCAAGCAGGCAATATTTATTAGAATTTATTTATTATAAATTACGGTAACATAAAATAGATTTATTAACTTATTAAGTTGTCTGAAGTCTAAAATTAAGAATTTTTGAAGTGCAGCTTCACTATAAATGTGAATCGAAGAGATCTGATTTGGAACCACTGTAATCGCTCTTATAATATTTCACTACACTATTTGGTGTTTCTAATTTTATTTTATTTTGTTTTTGTTCTCAGTCATTTCCCAACTTGATGCAAAAAATGAAATTGATTACTCTCTTGTACATCCTCCACGGGTAGAGAAGACTCACATTGATCTGGAGCTAAAGGTAATCGTGATTTCAGATTATATTATATATTTTTTACATGATCTACTTGCAGTCTTACTAAAGACATAAATACATCCTAAACTATCTAAATTTCTTTAGCTTGTTAATTGGCAATGTATTTACTTTGTCTGAAAATGCCTATATTTATTAAAACCATAAGAATACAATTGGATGATCTAGCTTAGTTTTTCAAAACATGATGCTTAATAAAAACTGTTACTTTTCGAAATACTGTGTTTTTAGAAAATCGTTTCTAGTTTTTTAATTTATCTCAATTAATTTGTGTTTTTTTTTATTCATGTCTTCAAAATGACCTTTTAAGGATCAAACTATGTCCCATAGTCACTTCATCCTGTTAAATTGTATATGGTGCAAAGACCCAGTGAATGCAGTCTTTCTTTATAAAAATAAATCACTTAATAAATAAAGAATCACAGAGATAAGTACAATTTGCCTATGTTTTGGGACACCTCCCTGGGTTATTAGTCAGGCATTTAGAATACTCTCTTCCTGTCTGATAACAGTTTTGTGCATTTTTCCCTTTGATGTCAGCACACATGCATGCACACATAATTTTACTCCAATATTTAGCAGAGATTGATGGTGAAATGGATACGTAAAAAGTGTCAAAATAACCTGTGACATTAGACCACATCACTGGGAAAACGTATCGCAAACAATTCCTCTTAACATAATGCTAGTACTAGCTTCTTTTTTTTCCAATTAATTACATATGTATGGCAGACAAGAGATGGAAGCAGACTGGAGACATGGCTGACAGGAGTGGGATTATGTAACGAACCTCAGGTACTTTGTGAAGTATGTTCGTTCGCACACTCCCGAAATGCTAGGGACTTAGTGATTATAGCCCGTTCGCATAGTACATTGATTCGTACGTACCCGAAATCTAAGCTGTTCGTGAGAATAAATCAAGTGGTTCGTCGTTCACATACCCAAACATCAGCCGAGTCTTGATGAAGGGTACAACAGGAATGTTTTATTATGGCCAGATACCACACTTTTATACACAGACTCCCAGCAGGAGGTCTCAAGCAAGGACACTCCCAACACCCAAGTTGTCCAAGTAGCGTTCAGATCCCACGAACACAGCCAAATCGTCACCGGGGTACAGTTTTGACCACCCGCACACATGGCGCCTGCCCAAATTAGTTCCAGAGAATCAGTGGTAGAGGTCGGTCATTTTCTGGAGTTCCAAAACAAGCAAAAAGACAAATGGTTCCCCTGGCTCATAAGTAGCGATTATTCGCCTTGTTCATGCCTTGTTCATGCGAACAATCCTACAGAACCGTGTTCCTGGCTTGTTGTGGAAAGAAGCAGGCGTTCGTGTGAATCTGCCGGTGTTCGCGAGGTCAAGCGTCCGTCTTAAAGTTCCAGACACCTGATAACAAAGTCCCACTGCCTGTTTTCGTGAGACAAGATGCCCGCCATTTTCTCCAGCACGTGGTGTTCGTGTCACACAGAAAGAGCACTTAAGTTTGTGGTTTATTTGAAGTTAATGAGCCAGGGGGTAGTTGGTGTTCGGTAGATCCATCTACCAAATGCAGGGAAAGTAACTGGGAGAATAAAGTACATAGTTTTGTCACACAGTAGAATTGAAAACATGGTTGGAGACAAGGTAGGGAAGGGGACTGGAAATATATATTTCAATTAAAATGTAATACTCCCAGCTTTTTGGTGTTTTATGCCCACAGGGCATGTTAGGGATAGTTAGGGAAAGTTACAATTGCATTTTATTTATTCCTTCTTTTCTATTTTTGCTGTACTGTGATCAGCTAAACTTCCAGTGCCTACAATGGACTCTGGATAAGCCTCTTATCAATCACCTCCCAAATAGACAGCAGTATGTCACTGGTAACAACTAGATATGAGCAGGATATCCTGGATATTTTCTTACATGTGACGAAACACAATTACCTATTGTTCTATAAATAGAAGTATTATAAGTTCTGTAATGCCCTCTGGTGGCTCACCTTAATAGTGATTTAAATACTCCGACAATCCTTAATGTGGTAGTGCGCATAGATCGATTTTAAAAATGTTTCCATAAGATAAATGTATATCCACATATACATACGCATAAACATAGCACATGCAACACATGTAATGAGTAAATAATTTAGAATACATTAACAGTTTTAAATGGGTCTATGAAAAATAGTGTATGAAAGGCTCCATAAATTTTCAGTGCGAGAGAGTGACATTGTAATAACACAATCTAGGTAAAAGGTAAATGAGAGTGTCTGGGTTATTCATAAAAATGAGAATTCAAAGCGAATTTCAAATTTAAGGTCAGTGGAAGTTAGGGGAGTTTCTTCAGCCTTCACTCCCCTCCATTTTACCCACCCTTTTCAGTTTCAGAACAGTCCGCTAATAACAGAATCAGGGCATCATTGTTCAGCAGCAGAAGAGTGAAACCCAATACCGAATGTAGCGGTGCTCCCTGTACCTTTGCTGGTTACCCTCACCAAGGATCACTTCCTAGCTGGAACCTGGGAAAACCTCAGTGCTTCTGCCCCAGTCGCCATTGCTTGACTGGCGTCCTCTTGGAGCCTCTCCCTCCTGGAACAGGATAGGGGACTCGTTCTATTCCCTCCCAGGAACTGGATGACACACAGTCCTTGAAGCTGTAGTCCCACTGAGTCCTCCACGAGCTGGAACATGGTGGTTGGTGTTCGGTAGATCCATCTGAGCTGAGCAGTGATTAGCCCTTTCCCCTCCCAGTAACTAGACGACACATAGTTATGGGAATACAACTGATTTTAATGAACCAAACTCTGCCTTTTATGCACAGAACCCAGCAGAGGATCTCCAAACAATACAATGCAAGCCCTTCCCAGGAATCTCTTCACCTGGGAGATAATTGAGTTAAAGACCGGTAAGCTAATTATTTCCCAGGAACAGACAGCCCAACACAAAAACATAAAAGTAACCCAAAATACTATACAAACATATAATAATTCCACATGTCATACATCCCCAAACAGCCCTGATCTGAGTGCCCAAGTTGTCCAAATAACACTCAGATCCATGCAGTGTAGGGGAAACGCCACCGTGTCAAATTTCTGACTGGCCGTACACATGCCCAAAATAGTTCCAGGGCGTTTGGTGCTTTTGCTGGTCAACTTTTAGGAGTTTCTGTGGTCGCAAAACGGGGTGCTCCACCTGGCTCTCAGGTTCCCTTTAGTCTCAGGTACCTGCCCTCAAGGTGGGTTGCAAAGTCGTTCAAAACCCCATGCCAAGTTTTCCTGGAACCGCATGGTCACCTCATGCCGAAAACAGTTCCATAACCGCTGAGGTGACTGGGAACCACGAAGTCCTCATGTCGAAATTAGTTCCATAGCAGTAGCAGCTAAGTACCGCTGAGTACCATTCATGGGTTTGTTCATGCGAATGGCCGCAAGGGAGCTGGCATTCGGTTCCATTCAAATGAAGGGAAAGTTTCGAACCAAGAGCACTGAGGGAAAGATGCTAATGGCGGCTGGGCAGCATAACTCCTGAACAGGGTCTTACACCTGGACTGTAGTCAGTGGACAGGAGGCCAGCTTCCACATTCCTACAGGAGTTCATGGCGAAGTTCGTGGAAAGGAGCATTTGTCACACCAGAGCCTGCTCTGCATGATCACACCCTCTCATCTCCCCAGGATATTCAATGAAGAGATCTTCCAACTGCACTTGTGTAACTCTGTTAGGCATTCCTAATGCACTTCTCTAGCATTCCTAGGAATAGGACATTAATTGGTTAGATAGGACACTGATTGCCCCCCTAAAGTGGGTGTGGAAAGCATACGAACAAAGAAGCAAGTAAACATGAAACAATCATATTTACCTTATTTTTCCTTTCAGTTTGCAGAATGAGGCAACTGTCTCAATCAAAGCTAAAACTTTTGAATGAGTCAGTTTTCGCAAAGTGAGGCATGTCCCTTTAAATAAGTGACAAAATGAATCAGTTTATCAGTTCATGATATATTTCCTTTTCTGTATGGCTCTTACAAAGCATATGGAGCCAAGTTTGATACCTTATCTGACTTTATCAAAGATAACTCGTAAAATTTTTTATTTACTTATATACTTATTCTACCCATAATACGGTGCTGCAAAACACAATATTGTTATTATTATATGGCAATATATAGTGACATCTAGTGGTGCTTACAGGAGTTATATAATTGAAGATTATGCTAGCGTTAGTGTACTTATAATCTTAATTTTAGTAATGACAGGAGGCGAGTATTTTGCATTAACTCTCTTTACTTACTCCACACAGCAGTAAAGAAAAGTGAGAAAACATTAACCAATCAAAAATGCAGTAGGAGGTACAATATTCACAGTGATGAGGCTCCTCCCCCTCTTTCGAAAGCGACATCAGAAAACAAATTTCCCTCAATAAATCCAAAGTCTTGTAACTTGCACCAACGGGTGAACTTTCCAACTGAGCCGGTCTAGAGGCCGGAAGATGGTCCAAACGTGTCCATCCTGAGTGTGAGCTGCAATATCCTGAAGTTATGCTGAAAAAGAACGTGGAAAAAGGTTAGGTACCGATCTTGCAACTGTTTGCAGTAATGAAATAGACCAGATACAAATTCCACTGACAATGAGACATTTATAGCATAATGACAGTAACAGATAACAGGGACATAAATAGACCTGGTACAAACATGATATCCTGCAGAGTGAGTAGGAAGATAGTAGAGGGGTGAAAGCCCACAGTGTAGGTATACTCACGTGAGAAACGTATCCCTCGCGGGTGTGGTGGGAGGGAAAATACTCGCCTCCTGTCATTACTAAAATTAAGATTATAAGTACACTAACGCTAGCATAATCTTCAATTTTACAACATGACAGGAGGCTTCATATTTTGCATTTTTAACGCTGATGAAGGAGAGACGCGGCTGCCCCGGTGTTCGGGCGGAAATAGAAGGTCCGAAAGGTCGCTTCGCGTGACCAATCCGCGGCTCGTAGGATGTCTGCCAGCGATGCGCCCGCGGTGAAAGCCGACGAGGCCGCCGCACCGCGAACGGAGTGGGCGCCGAAGGTCTCCTCCACTCCTGCCAGAGACAGGATCCATCGCACCCATCTGGCGAGGGTGGTAGTGGAGACGGGTACGTGAGGTCTAACGTAAGACACCAATAGTTGGCCCGAAGATGAGACCCGAAGTGGGGATGTGATTTGTACATATCGACGCAGAGTGGAGACCACGCAGAGCAGCGGTTCCGTAGGGAAAAAGGGGTAAAAAACCGACGAGGAGTCCGATTTGGTACGACGTGACACTAGGAAGGTAACTCCCTCGGGGGAGACCGAAAAGGCGTCAATGTCGAAAGCCCGCACGTCCGAAACTCTGCGGAACGAGACCAAACACAGTAGAAGTGTTAGTTTGGCCGACAGTTGTCGGAGTGAAAGTCTGTCGTTATCTGGCCAGTCCCTAAGGAACTGGAGAACGACCTCCACATCCCATAACCGGGTGTATTTGGGTTTGGGAGGCCTCTGGAGTCTTATGCCCCTGAGAAGACGGCATACCAGAGGATCTTTCCCGACGGGCATCCCCCGGGTCGGAACATGAGCCGCCGAAATCGCGGAGCGCACAACGTTGAGGGATCGGTAAGACCGTCCCATGGAGTACAGATGGGAGAGAAAGTTCAGGATGGCTGTTACAGGTGCCGTAAAGGGATCAAAGTTCCGTTCACTGCACCAAGCGGCCCAGGAATTCCATGCTGCAAGGTAGCATCGTCTGGTTCCTGGTGCCCATGAATCCCATAAGAGGTCTCGAGCCGTCTGCGATAGGTCCTCGGTTTGCCAGGCACCTCTGAAAGAGTCCAAGCTACTAGAGTGAGGCGGTCTTCCAGAATGAGAGGATGGAGGTTCCCTCTCGGGTCTGTGAGGAGTGTCTGGTAGGACGGTATGAGGAGAGGGTCCCTGTAGGATGATACTAGGAGGTCCGGGAACCATGGTTGGCCCTGCCATAGGGGGGTGATGAGGAGCAGAGACCCGCGTTGCGTCTTCAGGTATTGTATCGTCCTTGCCACCATGGCGAATGGGGGAAAGGCATAAGCGCCCTTGAGCGGCCATGGTTGGAGAAAAGCATCTACTGCCTTGCTCTCCGGATCTGGTAGCCAGCTGAAATACTCGTCCGTCTGCCTGTTGTTGCGCGATGCGAAGAGGTCTAGGTGGAGGGAGCCCCTCCTGGCCGAGAGGCGCTGAAAGATCATTGGGTCCAGTCTCCAGTCGCTGCTGTCCCGCCAATGGCGAGAAAACCAGTCCGCTGTCAGGTTCGTCTCGCCCGGGAGATATTCTGCCATGAGGGAGATGTTCCGGGGTAGGCAAAACTGGAATATTTCTTTCGTGATCTCCGAAAGGAGTCTGGAACGGGCCCCTCCCAGTCTGTTGATGTAACGGACCGCTGAGACGTTGTCCATCCGGAGGAGGATGCAACAATTCGTCCGGTCTTTCGCTAAGCTGCGGATTGCAAACGACCCCGCTAGGAGTTCCAGGCAGTTGATGTGGAGGTTGAGTTCCTGGGAAGTCCAAGTGCCTCCTGTTGAATTGCCTTGGCAGGTGGCGCCCCATCCCCAGAGGCTGGCGTCTGATTCCAGGACTATATCGGGCGTGTTCCCGAAGATGGCTCAGCCATTCCACGCTTCCATGCTGTCCAACCACCATCCGAGTTCGTCCTTGACTTCCTCCGTCACCGGAACAGTTTGGTCGTACGAAGGGTTCTGGCGGAGAAAGGAAGCCTTCAAGCGTTGCATCGCTCTGTAGTGGAGCGGGCCCGGGAATATCGCTTGGATAGATGCGGATAGTAAGCCCACGATCCGAGCCAAGTTGCGGAGTGGAATGGTGTGGCAGCGAATGGTTCTGCGTAGCTCCTTCTTGATGGCTGCGATCTTTGAGGTCGGGAGCCGTAGTGTGCTGGTCTTGGAGTCTATTTCGAAACCCAGGGTTGGGGATACTTCTGACTTTTGGAAGTTCACCACGAAACCTAGGGATGTGAGGAGTCGGGTGGTATATCGTGTGTGTTGCGTTAGACTGTACCTGTCTGAGGAGAACAGTAGCAGGTCGTCCAGGTAGATAATGCACCGAATTCCTTGACTTCGTAGTCGAGACACTACTGGTTTCAGTAGTTTGGTGAAACACCACGGTGCTGAGCTGAGGCCGAAGGGGAGGCACGTGAATTGCCAGGGGCGACCTTGCCATCGGAACCTGAGGAATTGTCGGCAGGAAGCATGGACGGGTACCGAGAGGTAGGCGTCCTTGAGGTCCAGTCTTGTGAACCAGTCCCCGTCCTGGAGCAGATCTCGTAGAAGGTGGATGCCTTCCATCTTGAAATGTCTGTACAGTACAAAGGCATTGAGCCCCCTCAGGTTTATAACCGGCCGGAAATCTCCGGATTTTTTCTTCACTAGGAAAATGTTGCTGAAGAAACCGTTTTGGTCGTGAGCGGGTTCTATCGCTCCTTTTTCCTTGAGTTCCCGTAGTTCGCCATCGATTAAGTGGCGATCTTTCTTGGAACAGTGAATGGGGTGCGGAGGGGCGGTCTGGAACGGGGTTTCCACGAAATCTATGACGTAGCCCCGAACCGTCTGGAGGATCCATGCGTCCGTGGAGATGGCTGTCCAGTTCTGAAAAGACAGAGCAATACGACCTGCAGTACATGGGGTAAGTGGACATTGAGACACTAAGGTGCTTACCTGTGGAGAAGCGTGCTCTGCCACGGTTACGAGGTCCTCTGCCTCTGTCGGCTCCTCGGGTGTAGGAGAAGGGCTGTCTGAAACCCACTTCTGGGTAGAAGGGTTGGGGTCTGTGCGAGCGGGGGCCAGAAGGCCAAAAACGGCTGGCTGCTCGGCCCCTGTAGCGGCCAGCCCGTCCAAAAACACCCCGACTGGGGTGGCCCCTGAAGACTCGCTTCATGGAAGTGTGAGCCTTATTTAGTGAGGTGAAAATGTTTACATGCTTGTTCAGTTCCTTGAGGAAGGCCTCCCCAAACAATTTGCCCTGTGCAAGCGGTCCCAACTCCTTGGTGCCCAATTCCACCAGCTTTCCGTCAATACGGAGCAGCGCTGCTTTACGCCTCTCAGAGGAGAGGGCTACATTGGTGTTGCCCACGAAACAGAAGCACCTCTGTGCCCATTCTCGTATATCATGTGCCCACTCTTTAACCATACTGGCATCAAATTCGTCAGCCCTTGTAAAAGCATCGTCAGCCAAAAACATGATGCGGGAAAGTGGGCCAATGGAATCTAGGAGTTTGTCCTGAACTCCGTGGAATCCTTTTTCAACGCCTCTCCTGGGGTCACGGCCACCCCGAGACATGAATGTGTTCATGACCTGGTCGAATTCGGGAGTCTGAGCCACGTGGTCGGGAAGGGAAGGGCGAGGGCATTCTGAACGAAGTCGGTTGCGCACCGTTTTGTCCAGGGGTTTGCGGAGCCAACGATGCATAAATTTGGAGAGATGATCCGGGGGGGTCCAGTCCCCCGAACGCGGGTGTCGTATATTGCGAGGGTCGAATAGACGCTGGCCCGTGGGGTCCAGGATGGCTTCCCCTTTGTCATGGACCGGTGTGGGGTCATCCGGCAGTTGGGTGTCGTCCAAAAAGGTGCCCTGCAGGAGGCCCGTATGGGATCCTGTGTCCGAACCCCAGTCATTATCTTGTGAATCAGAATCTGCGGCCTGCCACTCGTCCAACACGGCCATGGAGCGTGTGTGTTCTTCCCCCTCATCTGAGGAGTAGTGGGCGGGAGTGGGTGGGACTGGCCTGTGGCGTTTGGCCGGTGCCTTGCCTTTGCCCGGGTTATCAGCCCCTTTTTCGCCCTTCCAGTGGCGTTTGCTGGGCCGTGAATCGGCCTGCGTATGGGATTCTGAAGCCTCAGAATCATAGTCATGGGCTTGGGCTTTTGTGACTTTTTTAGCCTGATCGGCAGTTGCCGTCATAACCCTGGATAGCGCTTTCTCCATAGAGGCGGAGATGGCTTCCGCGATCATGGTTTGGAAATCCGCAGGGTTTTGGGGTGTATCCATAATGATAGGAGTAGGACCGCTGTAATAGAGAAAGCACAGTAAACGTTGGGCTAGGGGTCAATCCCAGTGAGTGAAAAAGGTACCTGCAGTACCCAGGCAACCCCAGCAGGGTAGTGTGTATATGTATAATAACAATAAAATAGGAATAAGCACCCCGGCAGGGTGAGAATGATAAATCTGGCAGCAAAAGCACCAGTTTCCCCCAGCAGGGGATATTGGGTTTTTTCTGGGCCTCACCCAGTTATATATGCATGTACATATATAGGTGGCACAAAATCCACCTGATAGCAGCGGTAATTAGATGATAGGGCCTCACCCTGAATGTAGCAAAATGGCACATAAATACACTGGAGAGCCAGTAATGATAAACAGTATGGGGCCTCACCCCAATGCACAGTTTTATAACCTTATATGGGAAGGCTGACTGACCTGGGGACCCCTGCCTGATTGCGTCCGGTATTGAGGTGATCGGGTGCCGAAATGAAGAGACCGCAATGCTCCCAAGATGGCGGCCGTGGATCTCGCGAGACGCGAGATCCAAGATGGCCGCCGGAGAAAAAACGGGAAGTAATTTCCCGCCGTGCGGTAGAAACAGCGCGGCTGTGAAGCCGTGAGGTGGGGAACGGGTGGAGGAGGGTGAGCTTTACCCTCAGTTAGGAGGAAAACAGTCGGTCCGACGGCGGGGGAAAAAGCCGGCGGACCGCGTGAGAACGAAAAGGGGGGGAAAAGGCCCTGAGAAAAAGGGACAAAAAAGGAGAAAAAAACCCCCCTCCCCAAGGGATAAAGTCCCAGAGAGTAAAACGTCTAAGAAGATGTATAGTAACTATCTATGTAAATACAAATATACAGTACATAGAAATACAGTAACTACAAATGTAATATAGAGCAAATATAATAAGTAAAAGGGAAGAGCCAAAAACTCTGACCTGTTTGCTGATGGAGCAGTAAAGAAAGAGGGGGAGGAGCCTCATCACTGTGAATATTGTACCTCCTACTGCATTTTTGATTGGTTAATGTTTTCTCACTTTTCTTTACTGCTGTGTGGAGTTAGTAAAGAGAGTTAATGCAAAATATGAAGCCTCCTGTCATGTTGTAAAATTATGATACACCTACATGAGCATAGATTTTGAAAGTAAATAACTATTTGGTCTGCTCACTTTATAAATAATGAGTAAACATGAGTTGTAACAGGAAGATAAATATCAGCCGATGTTAACCCACACTTTCTAAAAAGAAGAGTTGCAATTATTTGTTTTTAATTAGTATGAATAAAAAATGAGCTTAGATTCAAATCAACTCTACAGTCAACGCTATATGCACAAACTTAATAAAGAAAAATCAAGTAATCAAAAAAATAAATATATCCAGTTAACAATTTAATATCCTTGTCTTTTACCTTGTCCCTGTGTTGTTTCATCTGAGGTTTTAATGACATAGAATTCTTACCTTGTTCTGGGCATCAAATATGTGGCTCCCTTGATAAAGGCATTTGTGCCAAAACGTGGGGTGCTTGGTGATTGATTTTTCTTCCCTCTTCTCACTTATTCTGGTATGCTATTGCTTCTCTTGTATATATTTATTGGTGAATTGTTAGGATTTGGTATCTCTATTACCTATTTTTGACATTGCTATTTAGGAATTTGTATATATATATATATATATATATATATATATTTTGCTTGGATGTAATGATATAACTTTTGATAATTTTTCTGTACCATACTTATGTGATTATGTTTTCATTTATTGATATGCATTGTGAGATATCGATTTTCTGTGGACCTATCTAAATAAAATTGTTAATATTTACGTTTGTACTTCTTGATTGGATTGTATGCTGGGCAACAAATATACCTTTTTGAATGCAGAACTAAGCATGATTTGTTACCTCGGGTCAGTGATTGTAAATCAAAGATATAACTGTTGTCAGGATTTCATTAAAGATCATGGATTCCTGAATATCTGGCAGTCCATCAAATATAAGTGGCCTTATGATGTCATGAACGTACTCCATGAAATGTCTTACTAGGAAGATATCTTGGTGCATCTATAGACACTTCTAGGAGACATGGATAACACAGTTGACTCGGAATTATCAGAGATAGTCACTTGTTAACTTCTAAATTACAAAGAGCTCCTGGAAATAATGGTACAAGGAAGAGAAGCATAATTTCCTGCCGTTGACCAAACCTACAGAACAGTGTCCATTGCCATAGCTTATCATGTCTTTCACCAAGTTTTTCAGTGTAAAGGGACACTGCCCAAATAATAAATATTTTATGATGTAATGTTCTCAGGTTTTAATGTATTATATGTATGTTTGTATCTGAAGATATAATGTGACATTGACTTGTCTACCTTAATTTGTTGGCCTTTTAGTCTATTATAGCAAAAGCATCTTAAGGTCACTAAAGCAGATTTGTTTCATTTCAGGGATCTGTTCACCCTATTGGATCATCTCGGAATGATCTCTTTCCAGAAATCCATATAAATTTACCCAATGAAAGAACATCTATGGTTTATATTGGACTGTCTGAATACTTCTTTAACTCTATAGGGAAAAACTACTTTACAATGAATACTTTAAAGCTGGTTCTCACACATGAGCAGGTGAGAGGAATGCGTGATCTTGATAGACTTGGATTTAGTCAATAGGTTCTCCAGCAAATGTCTTAAAAACTGTGACACAAATTGCAAAATTTGAATGAGGGGGTAAAAACAGATGCTCCTTAGCTGGAGATGTTTGCCATCAATGCATCACTTGTTTGTAATTATGTCTGTAGAATATCTTGAGACCAAAATTACTGTTCCACCTACTTGGCATTATGGAACTTATATTACATGGACATTCTAAGCACCAAAACAATTATATCTTTTCTGGAACAAAGATGTAGCCTCCTTTCTCTGCAAATATAAAACATTAGAGGTTCTGAGAAATTGCAACATTTACATTTGTCAGAGAAAACACCTATTTTGGCTGTCAAAGAAACAATCACTAGAAGCAGTTCCTACTGAAAAATTAATGATTTTCGAAAGTCTTAACGTTCGGTGTCATCATGCACTTTATCATGATGCCAAACTCAGCTGATGCCTCTCACATATAAGCATTATAATCAGTGCTTCTCTATGAGACGTACCAGGATGTGGAGTGCGGTGATTGCCTGCATATGCCATAGGTCTCAGTGCATCTCTGTGAAAAACACTGGATTGAAATAAGATCATCAGCTATGATAGCCTCTGAGAAGGTGGCAATTTTTAATGTCTTAAAGGACCACTATAGGCACCCAGACCACTACAGCTTGTGGTCTGGGTGCCTGGTCCAGCTAGGGTTAACCCTTTTTTTTTATAAACATAGCAGTTTCAGAGAAACTGCTATGTTTATAAATGGGTTAATCCAGCCTCTAAAGCCTCTAGTGGCTGTCTCATTGACAGCCGCTAGAGGCGTTTTCGTGCTTCTCACTGTGAAAATCACAGTGAGAAGATGCCAGCGTCCATAGGAAAGCATTACGAATGCTTTCCTATGAGACTGGCTGAATGCGTGCGCAGCTCCTGCCGCGCATGCGCATTCAGCCGAAGAGGAGGAGAGGAGGATCGGAGAGGAGGAGGAGAGCTCCCCACCCGGCGCTGGAGAAAGAGGTGAGTTTAACCCCTTCCTCTCCATCCAGCCCAGTGGGAGGGGGACCCTGAGGGTGGGGGCACCCTCAGGGCACTATAGTGCCAGGAAAACGAGTATGTTTTCCTGGCACTATAGTGGTCCTTTAATAGTAGCATAGGACTTGACATTTTAAGTCCTGAATAAATACATATATATTTTTTGCTGATCCTCCTTTTACCCGCAAATGGTCACTTCTTAATTGATCTGTGAACGGGCAATGGTATGGATCTAAACAGATATAGATATAGGATGGCAGTAATGTTATTTTGACGACATATATTCACCTGGAGAAATTTTTTTAGTATGTTGCACATTGAGCTATGGGTTATTTCAGGTGTGTGATCATTGGCCCATGGTTCACTGCCATAGCTTTCCAACGTTTTCCTATGGGGCAGTATTGGATTGGCTGAGATCATCAAGATTAATGATTTCAGCCATGAAGGTAGGGCCAGCCATACCAAGATCGGACTGGCGAGGGAGAAAAACTTAGTAAAATTACCTTTAAGCTAAGAGAGAAGGGAACCTGAGACATAACTGTGTAGTGGGTGCAAAAAACCTTAGTCAATTCTTACATATTATGTGTAGAATGTGTAGTCCCATGCTTTAGGGTTTAGGATCCAGCAGTTTCATAAAAGTTGTGGGTGTCCTAAAGGAAATTTAAGAGGCTCTATCTAGAGGGACGGTATGCCCCTGTCACTAACCCAGATCTATCCAGGTAGGGGTTTAATGCCCTATTAAAATACCCTCCTATGATGACATTTTGGATGGGAGGTCCATAAAAGCATGAATCTGACTTATCATGGCTAATAGGTTTACATGCAAAAGGGACCTTTTGTGAATTAGTATTGGGACTCCATTGCAACTGGTCGGGACCACTGCATGAAAGTGGGAGGTAAAGCTGCCACTGCAATATGCCGGGGTACAAGACCTAGTAAAATATGTCTCCTGCATAATCACCACATCTGCCCAAAGGCTTTGTAATCACGTGTAGCCTGTCTGCATTTATTGGGTGTGAGAAGTCCGTTAACATTATGAAATATTACCTTTAGAGAAAACTATACCCTTAAATGAGATGGTCCACCACTGAACCAAGGGGTTTTAGCCCCCTGAAATAATAAAGTAGAAAATGTGTTATTAAAACTTCACTTTTCATTCATTCATTCATTCATTCATATTAAAATGAAAAACCTATCAAAAACAAACACATTGTCTAAACAAAGATACAAAAATCACCTGTTATCTTCTCACACATTAAAAGAGATAAAAAAGGAAGAAAAATGTGTAAAAGGGATAGTGAATCATAAGATAAACGTATGTTCTACATTGAAATGTATATAATTTGTATCAATATAATAATGCATTCCATTTGGAAAAAAGGAATTGCAGTTTATAAACTGCTCACCAGGGGTCACTAACCCACTAGTTAGTTGAAACCCATGAATATTGCTATCCCGAAAAAAGGTTATAAAACCACACACTTGCACCCACATATATTGTTCTATAGAGGTCACTGTTCAGGAGAGTTAGTTAAAACTGGGCAATGCCAGTAATATTACATCTACCCCACTAAAGGTCACTGTTCCCCCAAATATAAATACATAATAATGATTATTTTATATTTAGCACAATAATTGCAATAATAACATATATTCAAAATTAACTTAGAAAGAGACGGTAAGTTAATTTTAAATATATGTTATCGCAATTATTGTGCTAAATACAAAAGAATCATTATTATTTATTATTTGGTGGAACAGTGACCCCTAGTGGGGTAGCTTTAATATTACTGGAATTGCCCAGTTATAACTAACCCCCGTGAATAGTGACCCCGATAGAACAGTATGTGGGTGCAAGTGTGTGGTTTCATAACCTTTTTTTCTGGATAGTTATCTTCATGGGTTTCAACTAACCAGGGGGTTAGTAACCCCTGATGAACAGTGTACAGACTGCAATTCCTTTAACAAAATGGAATATATTAATAATACGAACTATATACTGTTCGATGTAGAATATAGTTTTATCTTATGGTTCGCTATCACTTTTACTATTTCTTTTTCTTCTTCCCGTTTCTTCTCTTTTAATGTGTGGAAGATCACAGTTGATTTTTGTACCTTTGTTTAAACGATGTGTTAGTTTTTGATAAGTTTTTCATTTTAATATGAATTAAGTAAAAGTGATTTAAAAAAATTAGACATTAAACACGGAATGCAAATTTAATAGGAATTACAAAACTAAAATAGTCAAGCTGTGACTATAACTGGGCAGCTTTTGTAGCCTAAGTGTTTGTCAATCAGATTTAGGCCTCAATTTAATATTTTTGGATAACCTTTTTTTTTTTTTTACAATGATTTAGTATTTTTTTATACATTTTTTAAATATTTTTTCAAAATGGTAAAAAATCCAAAACATTTATCATATATAAAAATATATTTATTTTTACATATAAATTTTGTTTTTCAGTACAGTGAATAACCATGTTATTTTTTGCTTAATTTTTTTTTTTATATATGTATCAGAATGCAGATATATTCTATGTATTCATTTTTATAATATTGTAAATTAACTTTTTTTTTTATTAAGAGGAGGAAGATGACTTAATTTGCAAAGTCTTTTGGTAGCTTTATTTAGCTTTTCTCACAGTTTAACTTCTCTTTCACAGTTTCCTCGTGCATTTTGGTTACGAACAGGAGACTATGGAACAATCATTCCAAAGGTATGATATTCCAATACTTTTTAATCACAGGTTATGCCATAACTATTGAGTAACTTTATGCATAGGATACTAAAAGGTATTTTGATTGGCCAGGATCTTAATTTTCCACATCAAACTGAGTAATAATATACTGGTGTAAGAAACTACAGATTGAAAACACACAGCACCTGTGGGCAGACTAGATGGGCCGAATGGTTCTTATCTGCCGTCACATTCTATGTTTCTATGTTTCTATGTTTCCTTGACACATTTATAAGGTAACATTGTATTCATAGAAACATAGAAACAGCAGATAAGAACCAATTGGCCCATCTAGTCTGCCCAATTTTCTAAATACTTTAATTAGTCCCTGGCCTTATCTTATCCCTACCCCATGCATGCTTAAACTCCTTCACTGTGTTAACCTCTACCACTTCAGCTGGAAGGCTATTCCATGCATCCACTACCCTCTCAGTAAAGTAATACTTCCTGATATTGTTTTTAAACCTTTGCCCTTCTAATTTAAGACTATGTCCTCTTGTTGTGGTAGTTTTTCTTCTTTTAAATATAGTCTCTTCCTTTACTGTGTTGATTCCCTTTATGTATTTAAATGTTTCTAAGAAATCTAATACACGGAAAATAGGTGGAGCAAGTGATAATAATAGTAAAATGTACTTCCCTCTCTTCTACCTTTCTTGCTGTAAAAGATAGAGAGGTACAAGATAGTGCAGATATTTCTATACACAGAATATAAAAAACAAAACAAAAGCGCATTCAGCCGGCAGGGAGGAGAGAAGGAGGATCGGAGGAGGAGAGCTCTCCGCCCAGCGCTGGAGAAAGGTAAGTTTAACCCCTTTCCCCTTTCCAGAGCCGGGCGGGAGGGGGACCCTGAGGGTGGGGGCACCCTCAGGGCACTATAGTGCCAGGAAAACGAGTATGTTTTCCTGGCACTATAGTGGTCCTTTAAGTCATCTGAAATAATTACCCCTAAATCCCTTTCCTAAGATGTTGAGGTTAGGACTCTATCAAATATTCTGTACTTTGCCCTTGGTTTTTGCGTCCAACATGCATTATCTTGCACTGCAGCTGCCACAACTCTGACCATTTTCTAGTTTACCTAAATCGTTTTTCATTTAGCTTATCCCTCCTGGAACATCAAGCCTGTTACATGTCATAGTACCATCAGCAAAAAGACAAACCTTACCATCAAGATCTACTGCGCTATCACTAATAAAATTATTAACAAGAATGGGTTCAAGTGCAGATCCCTGAGGTACCCCACTGGTGACAAGAACATGCTTCGAATATACTCCATTGACTACAACCCTCTGTTGCCTGTCACTCAGCCACTGTCCTACCCATTCAATAATATTGGAATCCAAACTTAAATATTGCAGTTTATTGACAAGCCTTCTATGTGCAACAGTGTCAAAAGCCTTACTGAAATCTAGGTAAGCAATGTCTATTGCACCACCCTGATCTACTATTTTAGTTACCCAATCAAAAAAATCAATAAGATTAGTTTGGCATGATTTCCCTGAAGTAAACCCATGTTGTCTCTGATCTTGAAATACATGTGGTTTTAGATATTCAACAATCCTATCCTTTAACATGGTTTCCATTACTTTCCCTACTACTGAAGTAAAGCTTACTGGCCTATAGTTGCCCGACTCCTCCCTACTACCTTTCTTGTGAATGGGCACAACATTAGCTAACTTCCAATCTTCTTGGTCTACTCCTGTTAACAATGATTGGTTAAATAAATCTGTTAATGGTTTAGCTAGTACACCACTAAGCTCTTTTAATAACTTTGGGTGTATTCCATCAGGTCCCATTGACTTATTTGTCGTTACTTTTGACAGTTGCATGCATTTTGCATTGGAGGTATGTCTAAAACAGCTTGCAAATGTCTCTTATTTGAAGCCTTAGCAAGCCCTATTCTTCCCTTAGCCCAGACTTTCCAATCACAGACTTCTCAGTGCAGCTCAATGAGAAGTATTTGCAAAGCAGGTGCTCTGGACAATTGCCTTCCTCGAGTTTAGCTCCACTGAGCTAACCAAACTATAAAATAACAGGGCCTGTTGTCTGGCAGCCAGAGGCTATAACTAGATTAATTTATAAAAGTGACAATTTCTATGTGTATACTGTGTGGGCGTCGTATTCAAAATGACTTAGCGAGTGGAGCAATGAATGCATCAAATTTTACGTTACGCTTGAACATTTCTCCAGGGAATCTATTTGGATGATTTAGAAGGCTTTCAGGGACGATGCAATAAGTGCAACACAAATAAAAGTGTGGCGTAAGTGCTTCAAAAGTGGTCAAGAATCTGTTGAACGATTACATGCCCTTTGACTCCTGGCTTTTCCAAAAACTAAAATCACTAAAGCGATTTCAGACCCTTGATGAGATTCAGGTAAATATGATGAGGCAGCTGATGGCGATTCCAACAAAATATTTTGTGGAGTATTTTGAACAGTTGAAGAGATGCTGTGAGAAGTGTGTGAGGTACCTAGTTTGAAGGGGACCGAGACGTCATTGCCCTATGTATAACGTTTCTTTGTATTTTGTATCTTCTTCAAAAAATGTCTCTGTTTTTCCTATTACATGGCTGGATACGTTCTGGGCTGACCTACTATATGTTTTATTTCTATCTTAGCCTAATAATATTTACACAATAAAAGACAGTGTGTCCATTGTATTGCTGTATTGTCTACATCATAGATAGAGCACCATTATCCTCAGTCTCAGGCTATGAAACTAGAACTAACCGCTACAAAGGCTCCTATGGTAACCGTGACTCCTCAGAATATCACCATGGAGATGACTGGACTGTTACAAGGAATGGTCGTCTTGCCATATTTAGTCACCAACCAAGTATTTTCTGTCAATATGGTAAGATTTATTTTCCTATATTACTTTTTGTATTTAGTGTTAACATTTTATCCAATCCTATTAGGCAACCTCTTTACTGGGTATTGAATAATGAAATAAATATAAGAATAATATAAAAAGAATTAATTGGCAACTGTACATCATAAATACTTATTTTATATCCAGCCATGCATAATAATTGTAATTAAAAATATATTCGCCCTGCTTGTGTTTAATTGTGTCACACTCCATCTTTCCTTCCCCCTCTTTCTTACAATCATTCTCATATTGTTCCTATATCTCTTTCTCCCTTTCTTTCTTTTGGTGTCTCCTTTCTTTCCTTGCTTTTTTCTGCTTCTTGTTTGATGAGTATATGCTTATTACACAATTTCCCCTTCTGCTTCCTCCAGGTAGCAACTCTAATAGCTGATAAAGTGCAACTCTCAGGCCTGAACCTGGTAGTCTCCTTTGTTGTTGAAAGGTAAAAAGTAATTAAAAAGAAAATGATATTCAAAGATAATGAAATTACATTCCTGATTTCAATGGGACAGTCATGATTTTAGGGTACTCTTGTTCCAGGTTTGTTCACAGCATTGAACTATTCCCAATAAGCATAGTGGGAGCACTAAGGGCATTGAAACAGTCCTCACTCAATGGGCTGGCTTTGATAATTGACATGCAGCAAGGTGTGCATTAATGCCATTTGAATCACCAGGGTTCGCTGGATTTTAAATAAGGCCACTGAGGTTCAGGTCAAAGATCTCCCTCACCGGCCAGCCCATTCTAATGCCAAAGGAGCAGTTGCAGGAGTTGGCCGCTGTGGTATTGTGTGCAGCAGACTGCCTACAGGAACAGGAGACCACAGACCTCCTTCTTCTCCTTTTTTGTGGTCTGCTGAGACACCACATTAAACGGAGGAGAGTAAGCAGGGCTATGACATAAATATGGTGCTACCTCTACTTCATCCATGCATGTAAGGAAGTGAGAATGGGCCAAAAGAAGACAGCTAGCAGAAAGGGGAGCAGGAAATGCAAGTAAAAGCAATCTCTCTCCTATTTTACCATGCACTTCTCACCCTCAATTCCAGCTAAGGGCTAGTGTCAGCCACCAGCTGGCACAGCAAGGAACCTACCAGGCCAGCAGCAGCCTTACCCAACTCAGGGTGGAGCTATCCATGCCCACCAAAATGAGTGTGATTCTCTGCATGGTTCAATGTGTGTTCCTGCATGGGTCCGTGTATGTCTGCATGGGTCAGCGTGTGTGTCTGTATGGGTCAATGTTTATCTGCATAGGTCAGTGAGAGTGTCAATTTGTTTGGGGGGGGCGATTGTGTCCTTTTTTAGTTTAATGCCCACCCTCCCCCAATAATTCTTAGGATGAGGGGGGTAGGTAGGGTTTTCTTTATGGGGAGGAGACTAGGGACCCCTTGTCACTGGGGGGTTGGGGATGATAGAATTTATGGGGAATAGGTTCATCCCCTTATTCTTTAGAGCCTACATCCACTGTCAAGGAGTGGGGCTGGATGGAGATAACAGGTCCTCCCCTCACTTTATTGCTTAGGGCCCCTGTCCTTTGCCAATGGGTGGGACAGAAGGCCCCAGTTTATTCTAGTGGCCCCACTCACAGAGCACAGGTGGGAGCACATGGGACACTATGTCACCACCCTGTTAAATTGTTTAGCATGTTCTTCACACCATGGGGGCACGGGGGACCTGTGCTTAGTCCACCTTTATTGGATTAGAGACTAGGCAGCAATAGCTGCCCAGTCACTAGTTTTTTTTTGTTTTTTTTAGTAGACATGCTCCAACTTGTGACACTGCAGGTAGAGGCAGGATGGAGAATTTAACCTCCTTATTTACAAAAAAAAAAAAGTGTTTTTTTACATAGTATTAATAAAGTTGTCTGGAAGACCAACATTACTAAAAAGTAGGGCTTTTCATAATTTTTACATTTTAGTTACTTAGTAGATAGCTCTCTAATCCTTTTGTGGGCTTGCCATAAGGATACCAAAAAGGAGCTCTTTACTAAACAGCTCCCTCATTTGGTACCTTGAAATATGTAAATCCCACAAGGGTACCAATTTAGGTAGTTGTCTACATAACGACTCCAAGATGCAGCCACAGCACAGATCGTTATTTCATTAGTCTGAATGAAATTCCAAAATGAAAATAATAACTGAATTTCATTAAAAAAATTTATGAAAAAACAGACTAAATTTGTTTTACTTAACTGGTGTTGCCTTCCACGCCCACTCCTCATGTCACTGCGGCCACGTGCAGTCCGATCATAGGCTTCTTATAGAAACATAGAATGTGACGGCAGATAAGAACCATTCGGCCCATGTAGTCTGCACATAGTGAAACATGTGATTGAGCTCAGGGTGCATGCACATGCTCAGTGCCAGTGAGTGAGGAGTAGGGGGGGGGATTTTTTTTCGTGCAGAAGCATTGCACATTCAGACAAATCACAGAAGTGGCCATGGTGGTTGGAGTTACCCCTTAAGAACGTGTACAATGTTTTTCAAATTGTGGTGTCTTGTGTATAAACTCAGCTCTCATTACTTTCTATTTCTTTTAGCTGTATGAAACGACACATTATCGCAAATAAACCTGTCTTATTACCTTTATAGGTATAAATTCCACGAATTCAAAAGCTCTGTGGGCTATATCAATGTGAGTACCAGACTAAGTATTTGTAAAGTCCAAAAGTCCCTTCACAGGATATTAAGTTTACTTTTTCCTATATTTAACAAATAAATATTTGTGAAATGCAAAAATATTATATTAAAGGATCACTATAGTGTCAGGAAAACAAACCCGTTTTCCTGACATGGTCATCCTTGCGGGACACTCACCCTCAGTGTCCCCCTCCTGCTTAAAACCCCTTCAGCCACTTACCTTATTCCAGCGCCGGACTCCCTCAGCGCTGGTGACCTCTCCTCCCTCACCGACGTCAGCTCCCTCTGCCGCGTGCGCATTCAAAGTGTCCATATGAAAGTATTTCTCAATGCTTTCCTATGGACGCTCTGCGCGATGGAGGCGTAATATGCCCCCAGCGTCGCAGATGCGCCTCTAGTGGCTGTCCGAACCCAAAATGTAAACATAGCAGTTTCTCTGAAACTGCAATGTTTGCATCTTAAGGGTTAAAACCTGAGGGACCTGGCACCCAGACCACTTCATTGAGCTGAAGTGGTCTGGGTGACTACAGTGTCCCTTTAAATGTAGAACTCCACACCTTTTTATCCTACAACTGTCATCTCTATCTTAGCTCCCTGCAATGAAAATTGTATAAGCCATATACTTTGCACTTAGCAGTCAGAACAGAAAAGGCATACAGAAAAGACAAGAGATGTTTCTATTTCCCCTCTTCATCTGCAATGTTTGCAGTGGCTTAGCCTTGTCTGAACTGGATGATGTTATCTTTTGAAATTGTAATTTATGTGAAATTCACACAATCTTTATGAGCATTCCATTATGATTTTATCTTTATGAAATACTATTTTTTGGGTGGGGATGGGTGTGAGGGATGGTAGAGGAGGGGCTAGGGGACAGAGAAATTTAAAGTAGTCTAAATGTGAAATACCAAAACAATGGACTGTTTAATTAATTAGAGATGGTCTAATACACTGTCATTCTCTGAAGTTCTGCCTGTGCATAACACTCAGAACGACAGGCGGATGCGTATTAGGGACTTTAATTTGTGGCTTGGTGAATGGTGTCGGGAGCAAGGATTTGGTTTTATTTCTCATGGTAGCTCTGTTTGGAATGGAAATAAACTGTACAAAAAAGATGGTTTGCATCTTTCTCAAGAGGGAACAAATGTTCTCAGTGAGCAGTTCAGAGGTTTTGCTAGGATGTATATAAACTAGGAGGGGGGGGCAAAAGGGTGATAAAACATCAATCCAATTGTCCCCAAAAACAAGGACAGAAGGTGCCTGTAGCAAGTGTGTTAAAAAATGATAAGCTAAGAGTCATGTCTACAAATGCTCGCAGTTTAGGGAATAAGATCCATGAACTTGTGGCAATAATGGCAACTGATAGTGTAGATTTAGTCGCTGTTACTGAGACATGGTACAATGAGAAAAATGACTGGGACATAGCAATACCAGGGTACTCTTTTTATATAGGAAAGATAGGGAAGGCAAGAAAGGGGGAGGGGTGGCCTTGTATGTGAAGGATAGCATAAAATCTAGCCTAATAAAAGTTAGTGAGGCAAACATAGAGACCATTTGGGCTACGTTAGAATTTGGTAATCACACAGTAACTCGTGTAGGTGTGATTTATAGGCCCCCAGGACAAATTGAAGAGTTAGATAATCTACTAGTTGAGGAAATAGCTAAAATGACAATGAAGGGGAAGTTATCATCATGGGTGACTTTAATCTTCCTGATGTAAATTGGAAAACAAAATTAGCTACTTGTGCCAGGAGCACACATATTCTAAACTCCCTACTGGGTTTGTCTCTAAAACAAGTTGTTGAGGAGCCAACTCGTAAAGAGGCCATACTAGATTTAGTCTTAACAAATGGAGATTTAGTATCAGATGTTACTGTAGGTGAAAGTTTAGGATCCAGTGATCATGAGTCAGTGTGGTTTAATATAAGAACAGTGACTGAGTCACACCACACAGAAACAAAAGTTTTAGACTTTAGAAAAACAGACTTTTCTAAAATTAGAATATGGGTAGAGGAGTCATTATCAGACTGGAGCAATTTAAATGGAGTCCAAGAAAAATGGGATTATTTAAAAGTTGCACTATTGAAGGCAACAGAAAATTGCATTAGGCTTGTCAGTAAAAGCAAAAATTCAAGAAACCACTGTGGTACTCCGCAGATGTGGCCAAAATAGTTAAAAAAAAAAAGTTAGCATTTAGGAATTATAAAAAAACCCAGAGTGAGGGAGACAAAATGATCTATAAGATTAGGCAGAAAGAGGCTAAGCAAGTTATAAGAGCTTCCAAATCACACACAGAAGAGAAAATAGCACAGACAGTAAAAAATGGGGATAAAACATTTTTTAGATACATAAATGAGAAAAGAAAAGTAAAACAAGGATTAGTTAGATTAAAAACAAAAGAAGGAAGGTATGCAGAAGAGGATAAAGGTCTAGCTGACTGCCTCAATGAAATATTTTTGTTTTATATTTACAGATGAAAATGAAGGAAAGGGACCTCTGTTGAGAAAAAAGGATAAATGAGTCATTTATTACACGTGAGTTTACAGAGGAAGAGGTTCTATTTCAACTGTCAAAAGTAAAGACAAATAAGTCAATGGGACCTGATGGAATACACCCAAAGCTATTAAAAGAGCTTAGTGGTGTACTAGCAAAACCATTAACAGATTTATTTAACCAATCATTGTTAACAGGTGTAGTCCCAGAAGATTGGAAGTTAGCGAATGTTGTGCCCATTTACAAGAAAGGTAATAGGGAGGAGTCGGGCAACTATAGGCCAGTAAGCCTTACTTCAGTAGTGGGGAAAGTGATGGAAACCATGTTAAAGGATAGGATTGATGAACATCTAAAAACACATGGATTTCAAGATCAGAGACAACATGGGTTTACTTCAGGGAGATCATGCCAAACTAATCTTATTGATTTTTTTGATTGGGTAACTAAAATAATAGATCAGGGTGGTGCAGTAGACATTGCTTACCTAGATTTCAGTAAGGCTTTTGACACTGTTGCACATAGAAGGCTTATCAATAAACTGCAATCTTTAAGTTTGGATTCAAATATTGTTGAATGGGTAAGGCAGTAGCTGAGTAACAGGCAACAGAGGGTTGTAGTTAATGGAATATATTCGAAGCTTGGACTTGTCACCAGTGGGGTACCTCAGGGATCTGTACTTGGACCCATTCTCTTTAATATTTTTATTAGTGATATTGCAGAAGGTCTTGATGGTAAGGTATGTCTTTTGCTGATGATACTAAGATATGTAACATGGTTGATATTCCAGGAGTGATAAGCCAAATGATTTAGGAAAACTAGAAAAATGGTCAGAGTTGTGGCAACTGACATTTAATGTGGATAAGTGCAAGATAATGCATCTTGGATGTAAAAACCCAAGGGCAGAGTACAGAATATTTGATAGAGTTCTAACCTCAACATATGAGGAAAGGGATTTAGGGTGATTATTTCTGATGACTTAAAGGTAGGCAGACAATGTAATAGAGCAGCAGGAAATGCTAGCAGAATGTTTGGTTGTATAGGGAGAGGTATTAGCAGTAGAAAGAGGGAAGTGCTCATGCCATTGTACAGAACACTGGTGAGACCTCACATGGATTATTGTACACAGTATTGGAGACCGTATCTTCAGAAGGATATTGATACCTTAGAGAGGGTTCAGAGAAGGGCTACTAAATTGGTTCATGGATTGCGGGATAAAACTTACCAGGAAAGGTTAAAGGATCTTAACATGTATAGCTTGGAGGAAAGACGAGACAGGGGGGATAGGATAGAAACATTTAAATATATAAAGGGAATCAACACAGTAAAGGAGGAGACTATATTTAAAAGAAGAAAACTACCACAACAAGAGGACATAGTCTTAAATTAGAGGGACAAAGGTTTAAAAATAATATCAGGAAGTATTACTTTACTGAGAGGGTAGTGGATGCATGGAATAGCCTTCCAGCTGAAGTGGTAGAGGTTAACACAGTAAAGGAGTTTAAGCATGCGTGGGATAGGCATAAGGCTATCCTAACCATAAGATAAGGCTAGGGACTAATGAAAGTTTTAGAAAATTGGGCAGACTAGATGGGCCGAATGGTTCTTATCTGCCGTCACATTCTATGTTTCTATGTTTCTATGTTTCTAATAGAGATTCAAAAGACTGCTGTTTTAGGTCCAGATCATTTTCTTATTCAATCAGTTTATATACTTTAGACATAAACACATGAAAAAAATTATTCCTACATTTATTTTGGCAAAACGTGGTAATTATCAGTTTGGAACTAACCGAATTTGGCCAAAAATGTTTGGAAATTTTTGGTCTTCTATTCCCTATAGGGCACTATTTAGTAGAGAAGCTCCTCTATTTTGGTACCCTTATGTGGAGCTTCCCTACTTAGGGCACTAAGTTAGGGTGCTGTTTAGTAGATAGTTCCTCTAATTTGGCACCATTAGATAAGACTGCTCTACTTATGATATCAAATTAGGGATCTACATTATACACATATATGACAGTGAACATCACTGTATGTGTGTACAGGGCAAATAACTTTTCACTTCACACATGAGGAAATTAACTTATATATGACTGTGTGCATGTATGTGTATGACTGTGCATGCATAGGGATATTGACAGTGTTTGTCACAGTGTGCATGCATAAGAATGGGGTGTGCAATGTCTGCATGACCTGCAGAGAGGGGAGGGGGGTGCACAGCGCTCCTCTCCTGCCCATCACTTCCTGTAGTGTGGCCGAGCAGACCACAGGTAGAGGATCTGCTGTGTCCTCTACCCAGTCTGACAGGAAGATGAGAGCAACGAGCTGCTTCCTGTCAGTCCAGGTAGAGGAAATAGAAGATCCTCCACCTGCGATCCACTCAGCCACACTACATGAAGGGAGGCAAGAGGGGCAAAGATTTTTAAAAAATATCAGGAAGTATTACTTTACTGAGAGGGTGGTGGATGCATGGATTAGCCTTCCAGCTGAAGTTCTAGAGGTTAACACAGTGAGGGGGTTTAAGCATGCGTGGGATAGGCATAAGGCTATCCTAGATATAAGAGACTAATGAAAATATAGAACAGAGAGACACCCAGAGGATTGGGAGGACAAAGAGGTGCACATGAGGGCTGATGGGGGCACAAGGAGAAGGGGCTAGGGGCACAAAGACACACAAGGGCTGGGGGTACAAAGAGACACATTGATGGGTTAGGGGGAGTAGACACACAGAGGAGCTGGGAAAGGGCACAAAGGGGTTGCTAGAAAAAGAGACACACAAAGGGGCTGCACAGGGACAAAGAGGCACATCAAGGGATGAGGGGACAAAGAGACACAAAGTGGGGCTGGGGGGGAGACACACAAAATGGTTGTGGGCACAAAAAGGGGCTGGAGGAGAAAGAGATTCAAGAAGCTGGGTAAAAAGAGACACGCAGATGAGCTGGGGAGGGTGGAGAGACACACAAAAGGGCTGAGGATGGAAAGAGACGCACAAAGCTGCTGGGAGGGGGAAAGAGACACATAGAGGGGCTAGCAAAAAGACTTACAAAGGGGTTGGGAGTGAAAGAGATGCACAAAGGGGCTGGGGGAAGAAAGAGACACAAAATTGTCAACTTATGTTTTGTGTGTGTGTGTGTGTAGGGGGTGCCTAGGGTATAAAATAGTCTTGCACCGACCTTGTGCATAGGTAAATGAACATGTATAGGACTGTGTGCATGTATTTGTAAATTAATGTGTATTTCACTGTGGGCATGTATGGGTAAATGACAATGTATCTCACACTGTGTACTCCAAAATATGCCTTTATTTGGTTTTCTAGGTATTGTTATCCCACAAAAGAGTCGAATTAGCAAAACCATCTATTAAATACTGCCCAAATCTGGTATCCTAAATAGGGCAATCCCACATAAGAGTACCAACTTAGGAAGCTATCTACTAAACTGCTGAAAGAGCAAAAATAAGAGCCATTTTTTTAAAAATTTGCTATTTCAGTTGCTTAGTTGCTTAGTAGATAAGTCCCTAATCTGACACTCTTTATTATGGCAATCCCATGTACCTACACCAAATTAGGTACCTATCTACTAAACAGATTACATCAAAATTGAGGGAAAAAAGAGCTGCTTGGCAGATAAGTCCCTAATTTGCTATCCTTATGACAGCAAATGGATACAAAGATTTTCACATCAATTTGTCCCAAAATCTTTAGTTTTTGGAAATTTAGGATGTTGCCGAATTCAGAATTTGAAAGCTTTTCAAATTCTGAAACTGAAATGAATTTAAATTTGTCTGAATCCAAATGTACATGTCTACAATACATCACTTTTCAAAGTAACATCTCAATACAAGTACAGAAAAAATAAATACATACATAGTCACAGTTTCTGCTTAGAATATCCATGTTTGATATGTGTACATATAAAAAGAAAAATATAATATACTGCAACAATAGTTATTAGCATAAATATAATTGAACTCACAGGATTCAAAGACATCCGATACTCAGTGTAGAATATATTTGTACTTTTCTTCGTACCGGTGACATTTTGACTGGTTTCATAAACTCCACGGAATATTATTTGACAGGCGCACAGTCGGATTTGCCGGCATATGCGCTAACCTTACCCAAACCCCCATTAAAACACGGACACAGGTTATACTGTTGGAAATAATTAGTCCACAGCTTTATTAAATTATTAATAAAATAATTAAAGGACCACTATAGTGCCAGGAAAACATATTTGTTTTCCTGGCACTATAGTGCCCTGAGGGTGCCCCCACCCTCAGGGTCCCCCTCCCGCCCGGCTCTGGAAAGGGGAAAGGGTTAAAAACGTACCTTTTTCCAGCGCTGGGCGGGGAGCTCTCTGCTTCCTCTCCTCCTCTTCTACTCCTCCTGGAATGAATGCGCACGCGCGGCAAGAGCTGCGCGCGCATTCAGCCCGTCGCATAGGAAAGCATTTACAATGCTTTCCTATGGACGCTTGCGTGCTCTCACTGTGAAAATCACAGTGAGAAGCACGCAAGCGCCTCTAGTGGCTGTCAATGAGATAGCCACTAGAGGATTAGGGGGAAGGCTTAACCCATTCATAAACATAGCAGTTTCTCTGAAACTGCTATGTTTATTAAAAAAAATGGGTTAACCCTAGCTGGACCTGGCACCCAGACCACTTCATTAAGCTGAAGTGGTCTGGGTGCCTAGAGTGGTCCTTTAAGTATAACAAATGGGGTCATTGCCAACAAATCTTATTAAAGTTAACATCCCCCCATATACATAACATACCCCTAGCAACGACCCCACAATAATAACAATAGATAATAATCAAAATAACATGTTAATACAGAAACTGGTCGCCCAATATGACCACATTTCCACCAGGTTAAATTGTAGGGGTGTACCGAGACACCGCTACCCACCATATCGATTGTAGGGATGTACCAAGACACCGCTACCCACATATCCATTGTAGGGGTGTACCAAGACACCGCTACCCACCAGTTTCAGTGTAGGGTGTACCAAGACACCACCACACCCCAGGGTTCGGAGCCACCGATGGGCTCGAACCTACCAACCACGTGCAACACTGCCCAATCTACACTAAACCTCATGATGCCCACTTTCTCCTCCATCTACCCTCCGATTTAACCAGGCCATTCCCGGCCGCTGTGAAAAAATGGGAAATCAACTAACCTAACCAAATAAAGGGAGGGTGGAAGGGACAACTGACAGGTAAGCTGAGGTTCAGTTAAAATGGCCACTTCATATAATGGCTGGTATAAATACTCCCCTTATGCCTCCGCCCTACCCAGCATGCTAGCTGTCACTAAATTCCTGTGGCTGCTATGCCTACCTCCTGGCTCTGTCAAGGCCTATTCCTCTTAGCTGTGCTGATCCATGGGCTACATGAACAGGGAGTGAAGGTGGCAATATCCATTTATTAACAGCTTAAAAACATATTCTAGACTAAGAAATAATGTATGATCCTTGTATAATGAAACACTCCATTGTTATAATGCCAAGAGTGCCCTGGTGACCCCAGGTCGTAGTCAAACCATTCTAGAATAGTTTAACTTTTGACTTCTTACATGAGATCTGCCTGTGGCCATTACACACTGCAAGAGCCCTGATAGCTACAGCTTGTGAGTTTCTGTTAGCTTTCCTGAGCTAAGCCCTGCAGTGCAGAACCAGCTCATTGGCTGAGAGCATCCACTGAGTGCTCTCAGCCAATAAGCTAAGTCCTCACCGCCGAGCTTAGCTCATAGCAGAGAGCTTTCGTTTCTCCTGGTGGAAGTGAATGGCACCTAATTGACCCCAATATGTTGTCAAAACATTTACAGACAGTTTTACTGCTTACCCTGGGAGGGAACAAACCACTCAACTGCTGACAATAGACATAGCATGGTTTTCAGTCCAGCAACATTGGCTTCAATATTTCAATACATTTTTAATTCCCATAATCAATATTTAAGTGAAAATGCCCATTTTACTTTTATCACATTGTGCTAAAACATTTTCTTTGTTGTGTTTTTGTTGCTTAATTTGTCCCGTATGAATCTGAGTTCTTTCTTAATATGCATGCCATTGGCAACAGATCAAATATTTCACAATGGCAGGATTCCAAGAGGAGGATTAATGATTAATTAACATATTTATAGTAACATTACTGTAAAGCCTATCTTGCGAAATACATAATCATTTATTTTGTTAAACTGCAGGCTTGTTTTTGTCAGTGAAATTACAACATATTTGGGTGGTCTCCAAATCAGAATATGGCCTACAAATAAACGTTATGAGACTATGAGACTAGGCACTAAAGGTATATTTGTAGTACTAATGAAATCTTGCAAAAAGAGATTATGAATTCATCAGTAAATTTTAAAATATATGCTGGCCAAAATAGCTGTACTAGAAAAATTATTTAATTCATCTATCTTTCCACTTTAGCTATTTAGTTTTGCATTTTGGATTTCAGTTTATCACAATTGACTTTATTGTGAATTAGTGTATCTGTAAATGTGAATAAATATTTATTTTGAAACAGAGGCATACCTAGGGTGTTTGGCACTCAGGGTAGATTTGTGCATTGATACCCCTGCCCCTTGGCACTCCAAATACCATCCACCATGGGTATTGGACTACTGGTTGGGGTGCGAAAAAAATAAGTGCTCACACTCTATCTACACAGATAGGTACAACATAATATTTATAGCCCTGTCCCTCCTCCTTCTATCTACCACTTTAATCTCCCTCCTTGTCTCTCTCCCAATTGTGTCTCCCTCTTCTTTTCACCCACACTTATGTCTCCCCATATTTGTACCCATTCTGTCTGTTCACCCTCACACCCAATCTCTTTCCACACCCAATTCTCTGTTTGCCCACTCCCATTTTCATTATATCTAGCGCCAACTCTCACATTCTCTGCCTGTTCACCCCTCCATTTTCAGTCATTCTACACTATTCTCGGTATGTTTGCCCCTCATTCTCTGTTTATCCACTGCCCTCCACTCTCAGTTTGTTTACCACTAAATCATCCTATTCACTATGCCCAGCATCCCATTTTCAGTATATCCACCCAACCCTCTTGCCCTTTCTCACACTTCTCACACCCTGTGTGTCTTGTTAATTTTTCCTTCCTAATGTGATTGTAGCGTGACTAAGTGTGCTGAGGTAGTGTATTCATCCTCCTCTACCTGGCATGTCATTTCAGCGCACAGTCTGAGAGGTGAGGGTATAGAGGCAGGATATCACTTTAGGTTCCTGAGCCACTGCAGATCAGACAGAGATGCATGAAAACCCTCTGTTGCAGTGCTTCTTGGCTGTACTTATATTTGGATTGGTGCAGAGCCAATAGAGGGGTGCTGAGTGCAATGCCTTCTTGGCTGTCACCAGGGGTGGAACACCCCCATCCTCCCTTAATACCCTACTGCTTCCAAGAAAAGTAATGAAACTGTAAAAAAAAAAACTTTCACGTTATTTCACAGGTTGCAGAACTAGAGAGTGCCTTGGATCATAGCTTGCGAGAATCTGTGCTACGAGAAATAAATGGTAAATGTCCTTCTTCATTTATATATTCAAATATGCTAATCTTCTGGAAACAATGGTTGATAATTGACATGTATTATTTTTAAGGGAATAAGACATTGGAGACCCTCTTCTCTTATGTTGTTTAACATCAGCTTTTTTTGCCCATGTGCCAAAAACAGTAGATGGACCATATACCGTTTTAACAAGTAAAGTTAGCAACTAGACTTGTTCACTGATTCAAAATAAGTTTCATCTGAAGTGTGCATAATAACAGCTTTATTCAGTGGAAAATACATTTGTGCACCTTATATTTGGCTCATATAAATGCAATTAACTGAACTTGGTAAAACAAATTTTTTGAGCTATTAAAATACCATAACATTTTACCAAAAAATATAGAATTCCCTGCAACTAAGAATAAAACAGACTGATTTAGGAGAGATATCTCAGGTGGGGGCTATCTGCTGGGGGCTATTTGCTCCCTGAACTAGACATATTTTAATATAGCAAAGTCACATAAGCTATCTACAAGCTTGAGCCTTGGAAACAAGGTGCATTCCTTCACAGGTACCAATGAAATAAAAATGACCAGGGTTTCCCAGTGATCCCTGAAAACAAGTTAGAGGATGCCCTCTATTAAAGGAAATAGTCAATGGGCGTAAACGGAAATGGAGTTATCATTACAAATCCTTCTTGTTCAATGGGGTTTGTAATGATGCCCACTGTTTTTCCCCAAACACCCATCATAGGTCAGATTTTTGTAAATCTACCAACTATGGTCTCAATTTAATTATTTTAGCAAAAAAATTGTCAATACGTATTTGGACAATTATTTTTCTTACCAGCCAAAATTCAAACACCTGAATCCGATAAATAAGATGGCTGCTTAAGATAAAACTGGCAATACATGTGCATTGGATTTCTGCTAGTCATGGCTATTCACTGTCATTAAAAACAAGCAACTGGACAGCTGTAATAACTGTAATAACTGTGTGGACCTAATGTCCCATTGGCCCCCACTCATGGGTGGTGGATGGGGTCTACTGATAAAATATTGTTGGACATACCACTGTGGCCAGAATTGTGGCCAGTTCTGCTCACTGTGTCCCCTCCACAGGGTGTCTAGAGGGTCCTCAAGTCCCTAGCCAACCCCAATAAAAAATCTGCCTACCTACTCAACCTAACAGTGAGTAAAATGAATGAGTGAGTAAATATATATTTAAAAATATATATTTACTATCAGAGATCTTTCTTCTTCAATTTTCTTCAAGAAAGACTGTCTCCACTAACGAGAGTTAAATGGAATAACCAGTAGCTAATATTCAGACCATAAGGAATATCACTGTACAGTGGATAAGATATATAAAAACCTTAAGATAACTAGCCAAATTAGTAAAAAGATATATAGCCAAATCCATAAAAAGATAAAAGACAATAATAGAAAACAATATGCTGGATATATTAGAAAACCAACTTAAAATCAACTTAAAATATATACTACTGGCGAAGATGAAAAAGGTATAAAGAAAATAAATTAACAGAAAGTATCAAACTAGCAAATCGTCCAGGGATATACTAGTCTAATGAATTGAGAGCCCTTAGTGACTATAGCAAGTAGGTCTGAATCATACCACAGCCTATAAGGGGGTGGCAGTTGGACAACCCAGATGATAAATTGACCTAAAGCAGACCCACTTTCTATACCAATATAGTACTTCTGAAGTTAACAAAGCAAGTACAATAACCCTATAGAGCAATCAAACATAGCAAAAACTAATTGCATGTAATATAAAAAAATTCCACTTGGTGGCTGAAGATACCTGCAATTAAGAGAAATATACCATAGTCCTAACTGTAGAACACGTACTTTATTAAAGCAATTCAGTTAGATGCGTGGGAGCGAAACGCGCATGCGGCCTTGTTAACGGTATTTATGGCCGAGATCCGGCGGGCGGCTGGGTGCTCGTTAAGAGATGGGGAGGCGAGAAGGGGGTGGTGCGGGGGAACCTTGGAGCCCCAGGGACGTTCCCTACGGTGGGGGCAATGGAAAAAACAGGTTATAATCAACCCGAACGGCAGTGCAAGGGGCGGGGGGCTTGCCCCAAGGGAGGGGCAAGGGCAAAAAACTACCATACAGCAGAAATAGTAATACTAACAGAAATGAATGAAACAATATTAAAGGTACAGTAGTATTAAGAAGAAAACAGCAATGTGATACAATTTTTTCAGAGCAGAAAAAAGTATGAGGTATTTAGCTGAGGCAGCAGCAAAGAAAGAGGGAGTGGCCTAGGACATATGAGGGGACATAGAACAAGGACTGATCCCATTGGTTAATGTTAGAATGTTATATGGTTAACCATTAAGAGTATTTGTTTTTCTTGATATATTAATATATCAATATCCTTTCTTTGCTGCTTGGGAATGAAAAAAGAGATAAAGCCTAATATGAGACTCTTCGTCCTTTAAAGGACCACTATAGTGCCCTGAGGGTGCCCCCACCCTCAGGGTCCCCCTCCCTCCGGGCTCTGGAGAGAGGAAAGGGGTTAAACTTACCTTTTTTCCAGCGCCAGGCGGGGAGCTCTCCTCCTCTCTGCCTCCGATCCTCCTATTCGGCTGAATGCGCACGCGCGGCAGGAGCTGCGCGCGCATTCAGCCGGTCTCATAGGAAAGCATTTACAATGCTTTCCTATGGACGCTGGCATCTTCTCACTGTGATTTTCACAGTGAGAAGCACGCAAATGCCTCTAGCGGCTGTCAATGAGACAGCCACTAGAGGCTTTAGAGGCTGTATTAACCCTATTATAAACATAGTAGTTTCTCTGAAACTGCTATGTTTATTTAAAAAAGGGTTAATCCTAGAGGGACGTGGCACCCAGACCACTTCATTAAGCTGAAGTGGTCTGGGTGCCTAGAGTGGTCCTTTAATAAAATCCTTTTTATATTTTATCACTCATCTGTGGCAGGTAGGGGCTATACTTAATATAATAACCAGGAAAGAGACCAAATGCTCCCCAGGTCCTCTCCCTGGTTGTTATTTTAAATATAGCACCCACCACCAATTATAGGGACTGGGGTGACAAGAGGTTCCCCCTGTTAATAATAGATCCCATCCGCTGGCTGAATGAAGAGGAAATTGGCACTAGGATGTCCTACCTACTTTTTTACCGATGGCCAAGGGTTAGGGCACCACGCAGACGTTGATCTGGACAGTAATCTGCCCACCCACCATTACTTAATATTACTTCATACTTGCTACACATCAATTACTTTTAGGTGTTGAATTTTATGAAGTAAGTTATCTTGTATTATGTGCCTGATAAATGGCATTGAATCTTTGAAGCTGAGAGTTTCTAAAAAAAAAAAAAAAAATAGGTTTTAGATTCAAGTCTTATAAAGGTTATAAAGTTATCAATCCAAACTGCTACAGGGCTTATTGAGAGCCAATAAACATGAAAAATATGCATTTTATTTCAGTGTTTCAGTCAAAATAAATGCTTTGCTTCTCTTGGCTGCAATATTAAAATGATTATGTACACTTTTGTTGTCAAGCTAATAGTTTTATTTTGGTTCCATTTGTTTTGTTACTTCATTTACCACCTGTTTTGGATATGTTCCTTTTTTTTTTTCTTACAGTAACAGTTCCCCTACCCCTCACTCCTATAATTGATAGGTGGTCAAGATATATTGCATCGTATTCCCGCTGAGCTTTGGCAGCCTGGCATGCCATAGAATTTTAAAATATATATATTTTTTTATTTTTCTTATAATTAGTTCCTGATTATACAAACCTAGCTTGTCGGTTCAAAATTACGATTGCTTCACAAATTAACAGTTTGGTATTCAAATTAACACTACTCAACTAAAATAACAAAATATTTTTATCCCGTTACTTTTTCATAGACGGTCTGCAGAAAGGTATCCCCATGCCGGCCCTTGGTAATATCAGCCTTCAGGATCCAGCAGTAACAATTACTCAGGCAAGTATCAATGTTATGTAAGGCCTATGTGGGGCCTTAAATTAATATTTTTGAATACGCTTTTCAAATGATTTAATATTTTCGGACACATTTTTTAAAATATTTTTAAATATGCATATATATATATATATATATATATATATATATATATATCTAAATGTATTCGAAATTATAAAAAAATAAAAAAATTAAGTATTATTCAAAATATTAAATAATTTGACAAATGTATCCAAAAACACTGAATCAAGGCTTAAATTAGGGATGACCAAAAGCTGGATCGTAAAAAATATAAGTTTCTGTTCATCAGAAAGTAACTCTTTGCAAATACCTTGATACTGAAGTGGTGAATATTGGAAACAGGGTCTGCTGGAGGTCTCGTCTATGTCCACATCAGGGTCAGAATCAGTGCACTTATTTGATATGTTTGTGGAGACTGGTCAGTTAGGGAGCAAGTGTTTGACAGCCTCAATACTAAAGTTACGACGTTCTGCATGTCTGATCTTCAGTGATGATGCTAGCTGGTGGACACAGCATGGCATTGTATGAAACCAGTAACATTAATTTCATGCTGGATAGATTTACATTTGCAATTTTCAAGGTAAATCCACAGCAATTCTTTGTCAGAATACGAAATGTGGGGCAATCAGTCTTTTTAAATATCACTTAGATTTGGAATGAGATCAGGAACAGGATCAACAACAGAAAACACTAGCTACATATAAAATAGCTAAGATATCAATTATTTTAACCATAGGGAGGCATAAACATACAAAATTGGAATTATGTTAGGAATATGATTTAATTAACGGAACATACTTGCTATGTGAATACCTAGCTGCAATGGTTGATATATTATTAAAGAAAACAGTAACAACATACAGAATATTCATAATTATAATAGGGAATAAATGGTATAATAAATAACCCATTATATGAGAAAATTGCATATGTAATTATATACTCATGATAATCATTGTCTTGTTTTCATGCCATCAAAATAATATATCCACCTTCTGTGAGCGTGCTTACTGTGATGATCTAGGGTACAAATAAGCTCTTTTTAGGTATTACATAGAGATTATGTTAAAAAATATAATAAAGTAAAGAAAAACTAATTTAACTAATACTCACTTTTGAGGACTATTATTTTCTTCAAATTTTCATGAACTACAGCCTTTAAATGGAACACTCAACAGAGAAGCGATTGGCTGAATCCTCGACTTTCCAATATTTTTAGTGCCGATGACATAAACTATTGCTGTGCATGAGTTAATGGGTTTTGTAGATAAGCTGTGAGCTTTCTACTGAATAGGAAATAAGCTTAATTTATCTGAATGTACCTTTCCTGGTTAAATACTTTGTTGTTGTTATTATTATTATTATTATTAATTTTTATGAAGAAACCACATATAATGTAGCTGTTCGTCAAGACAGAAGAAACCACTATGTCCCTTTAAGTCAAATATAGGTGTTTATTCACAAAGCACTGAGGTGTAGTGAATTGAAAACTGAATTTAAACATTTTGGGAAAATAGCCACACTATGACTACAGGTGATACTTGAAAAATTAGAATATTGTGCAAAAGTTCATTTATTTCAGTAATGCAACGTATCAGGGGAAACTAATATATGAGATAAATGCATTACATGCAAAGCAAGATAGTTCAAGCCGTTATTTGTCATAAGTGCGATGATTATAGCTTACAGCTCATGAAAACCCCAAATCCACAATCTCAGTAAATTAGAACATTGTGAAAAGGTGCAATATTCTAGGCTCACAGTGTCCCACTCTAATCAGCTAAGTAAGCCATAACACCTGCAAATATGACTTAAAGGTAGGCAGACAATGTAACAGAGCAGCAGGAAATGCCAGCAGAATGCTTGGTTGTATAGGGAAAGGTATTAGCAGTAGAAAGAGGGAAGTGCTCATGCCATTGTACAGAACACTGGTGAGACCTCACTTGGAGTATTGTAGGCAGTACTGGAGACCGTATCTCCAGAAGGATATTGATACTTTGGAGAGAGTTCAGAGAAGGGCTTCTAAACTGGTTCATGGATTGCAGGATAAAACTTACCAGGAAAGGTTAAAGGATCTTAACATGTATAGCTTGGAGGAAAGACGAGACAGGGGGGATATTATAGAAACATTTAAATACATAAAGGTAATCAACACAGTAAATGAGGAGCAAATATTTAAAAGAAGGAAAACTACCACAAGAGGACATAGTCTTAAATTAAAGGGGCAAAGGTTTAAAAATAATATCAGGAAGTGTTACTTTACTGAGAGGGTAGTGGATGCAGTTAATAGCCTTACAGCTGAAGTTATAGAGGTTAACACAGTGTGGGATAGGTATAAGGCTATCCTAAATATAAGATATAGCCAGGGACTAATGAATGGACTAATGAAACTATATATAAAATTAGGCAGGTTAGATGGGCCGAATTGTTCTTATCTGCCATCACATTCTATGTTTGTATGGAATCTCTTTATAACAGTGTACTGTAATAAGATATGTATAAGAATTCAGATACACTGAATAATTCAATATAACTTTCTTAAACGCTGAATAGTGCAAAATGCTAGAGGTATACATGTCTCAAGTGCAGTGTAGATAAGGTGCTGCATGACTAAAAATATAAGTTAGATAAAATTAGTAAAGGAAAATTGCTGGACAATACATGCTGTGTGAGTACTGTCAGAATTAAAATGATACCTAAGTTACTGTGCTGTAACTGATAAAGTGCTAGCAAGGACAAAATGCTGCCAGTTGTGAAGTGCTATTCTTTAGAATGTGTTACATATTATGAATTGCTATATATTATAAAGTGATACTTGGTGTAAAGTGCAACCAATTATAAAGTACTTCTTGTTATAAACTGCTGCTTATTATGAAGTGCTACTTATTATTAAATGCTAAAAAAACTCATATTAATGTAAAGGTAGTTAGGGAAGTATCAGTGTGTCCAGACTGTGTGATGCAAAAAGTGTGTGTTTTCTTTTCAATATATATAATATTGTTCAGGGAAAAGCATATATTAAAGGAAACCTATTGTCCCGTAAATAATTATTTTTGTTTTTAGGGGCTATAGTTTTTCTTTAAGGACTATACGTTACCTTCTATCGCGGTGACCACTGTTTGACAGAAATAAGTAAGACTTGGCTGTCAGAGTGATCTGAGTGGTGGACTTACTACCTACCAATCAGAGTCCAATTGGTCACATTGCAAACCATGGGACTTTTTCCCATGCTTTGCAATACCTGTGATAGTATGGGAAGCCTATAAAAGGGCTTTCTCTGCTTGGAGCACTCATTCTGCAATGAGCCCTCCATGGGTGAAGATAGATTATTATTTATTGAGGTGTGGTTTTTATTTTCTGTGTTTGTTTGTTTTTTTACAATCTGGACTTTTTTTTTATTTTAATTAGTGGCATTGGGAATTATGGATTTTTATTTAGCCTTTTTTGAGGCTGAAGAAAATAAGAATCCGAAGAAAAACTTCTGATAGTAAGTATCATTTTTTTTTTTTTTTACAGACTTTAGATGGCTTCTCCTTACTACTAGTAGGGTGAGGGGGTTGGTAAGGATAGTGATGGACCATTGCCGACCCCTGCAACCAGCAATGAAGGGACCCATCGGGTGGCACATGCTCTTGGGGCCACCTGATGGCAAGGAATTACCTGGGGCCTTGTCAGCGCTGGGCCGCTTTAAGAGCTCGACCGGGCCTCATTGATGCAAAGTCACTTCCTCCCAGCATACACAGAGCAGAGCCGCGTGGGAGGAGAATGCAGGGAAAGGAGGGAGTCAGAGCTCTGACTCCCATCAGCATTAGGCAGCCACTGGACCCCAGGGATGTCACCTTCCTGCACCTTAAGGTAAGAAACAGGAGGGTCACTAACATTTTTAATAGTTTGTGTGTGTGAATGTCTGTATGTGTGTGTCTGCATGTGTTTCTGCATCTGTGTGTCTGTATCCATGTGTCTGTATGTGGGTGTTTGTCAATGTCTGTATCTGTATATCTGTGTGTCTGTATGTGTGTCTGTATATAAGAATGTCTGTATATGTATGTCTGTGTGTGTGTATGCATATGTATTTGTATGTATAACTCTTTGTATGTGTATCTCATTGTCTGCATGTTAGTCTGTATGTGTATCTGTTTGTCTGTATGGTTATCTGTATGCATGTGTGTCAGTGTGTGCCCCTATGTATCTGTATGTGTGTCATAGTTTATATCTGTATGCTTGTCACTGTGTATCTGAATGTTGTCATTAAGTGTGTATGTGTATCGGCATGCATGTCTATATGTGTATCTGTCTGTATGTGCATCTGTGTGTTCTGTGTCTGTATGTGTATCTGTTTGTCTGTATGTGTGTCAGTGTGTGCCCCATGTATCTGAATGTGTGCCACTGTTTATATCTGTATGCGTATCATTCTGTGTATCTGAATGTTTGTCATCAAGTGTGTCTGTGTATCTGCATGCGTGTCTATATGTGTGCCTGTGTATCCACATGTGTGTCTGTATGAATGTGTATCTGCATATGTGTCTGTATCTGTATCTGGTTGTCTGCATATGTGTCTGTATGTTGATCTGCATATGTGTGTATGTATGTGTATCTGATTTTCTGCACGTGTTTCTGCATCTGTCTGCATGTGTGTCTGTGTATGCCCCGATGTATCTGTATATGTGTCACTGTTTGTATCTGTATGCGTGACATTCTGTGTATGTGTATCTGCATTTGTCTATATGTGTATCTCTCTGTATGTGTGTGTGTGTACCCGCAAGTGTGTCTGTGTATCTGTATGTGTGTCAGTGTTTGTATCTGTTGAAGTGTCATTCTGTGTATCTGAATGTGTGTCATTCTGTGTGTCTGTGTATTAGCATGTGTGTCTGTGTATATATCTGTAAGTGTTATATTATACAAATGGAGGAGTGGGGAGGTAGGGAAGATGTATGGGGAAAGGGGCCCCTGGGCAATTTTCACACCGGGGCCCTGTGGTTTCTAGTTATGCCTCTGGGTAAGGACTTAGGAGGGTGGCTAAAGGATTGGAGACACCTCACCACCCAGGAGGGGGAGTACTATTCTTTTGCATGCCTACCCTTTATTTTATAATTAGATTCTATTTTGGTTTTTATTTTACAGGGCTATTTGCTAAAATGAGAATTCAAAGTGAATTTCAAATGTAAGGCCAGAGTAGCTGCATGGAAAGTATGGATGACTTTAAGAATTTTTTCAAATTGGCTCTTTTGGCCTTAAATTTGTCATTCACTTTGAATTCTCATTAGTGAATAACCCTGTTAGTTTTTGGTCTGTACATATTTGTGTATGATATACCCATGCTCTATGTATATTTAGATCTTGGAGATCAAATAAAATTTCTTAACATTTATTGTTATTTATATATTTTAGGGTTGCGTGTTAGTTTCTGTGGATATGTTCTACACTCCATGGACAGAATTAATGAGAATGCTGCCTCACAAACAATATAGTCATATGACCTGAACCCAATTTTCCACGTGATCTGGCATATACTTTGTACAGTTTGTACAAAGCAGTAAGATGTATATTAAGTAATATTGGTTTGTCATGCACTTAAATGTTTGACTGTTGTGTCATACAAGATGCCACTTGTCTCTTCTAAGTAATAAAAAGTTGTCTCCTTTCTACTGTTTTTGAAAAGGTATTGATGTATCATGCCATGGGTCCTAGGTGATACAGAATATTAGTACGGCTGCTCTTTAAAGGGACATTTCTATCCCTAAAGCACTTTAGCTTGCTGAAATGCTTTGTGTGTAAGAAGTGGTTTTTTTTTTTTTTTTTTTACAAAAAGTGTGGAAATTGCCTGACCTTCAATCAGACAACGGGTACTTTTACTTCCTGGTTGTTAGCTCATTGGAGCAAAACTCAAGAGGCAGTAATTAAATAAATCACTTGCCTTGCAAATACATCTCATTGAGCTGCAATTGGAAGTCTGTGATTGTACAGCCACAAAAAGTCTGGACTAGGGAAGAAGGGTGGGGCTTGCTAAGGCTGCAGGAAAGAGAGTATACCTAAGAGGTGGAAAAGGTCTGGAGATGATGTAAGGTGAGTCAGAGCAGCTCCTAGGATATAGCTACCTGGGTGTAGAAGCTAAAATGGTATAAGCCACAACAATTTCACTATCAGATAGTACAATGGTCTGCAGCTCCTAGGAAACCACCTTCATGCTAAAGGTTGTGTAGACGTCCTGCTACCTAACCACCTTGCAATTCCAAATAGGGATACAGCTCCTAAACAAAAACTTCAGGGGTGATCTAAGCTAGAACGCTGACCCACATTAACAACCCGTCCTTCCCTCCAAATCCTACGAAGACTAAACCATCAAAAGCCTCAAACTTGAAAATTAAAGTGATATAGAGTGCATAGTGCTAATAATTTGAAAAGACAAAATGCTCTTTCAGTGGATACTACCCAGCACACTGTTTAGCGAATAGCCCCCTGTGACAATTTTGTACCTGTTTAGGCAGAAATATCTTGATGCATTTAAGAGTATCCAGAAGACATACACTGTTCATGATAACAGTCAAGGGTTTATTATCCACATATTTTAGAAGTAATTGCTCACCACTCTTCAGCTGGGAATCTTAGAACAATTGTATAATTTTTTTCATTTTTATGCACAGCAATAAATTTATTTTCTCATTTGGATACATTATGCTTAATAAGTTCCCTGGAGGATTTATTGTGGGTTATCCTACCAAGCTATTTTAGATATATTGGTTAGCTCTGTTTATTAAGTATTTGCTATTTATCTTCCAGTTTGAAATCCCTCACTCTTGCTGAGTCTGGAATCCCTTCTCTTTTTTCTTATTTATTTGTTTGTACTAAGTTTGTGTGTACCAGTAAGCTTGTCTGTAAGTCTCAGTGATCTTGTGTGTAAGTGATATCATCTGTAATTGAGCCTATTTGTGTGTACCAGTGAGCTTGTGTGTTTATATAAGTGAAATTGTCAGTGAGCTTGTGTATGTCAATGAGATTGTCTGTCTGTAAGACTGTGCATTAGTGAGATTATGTGCTTGTGTTCGTGAGATTGTCTGTGCCTGCATCTGCATATGCTTACATTATAATTATTTTTTTATCTGAAAGGACCCCTATCACATTAACCCCTCCAACCCTGTCACACTCATCGTCCCCAACTCTGTCACACTCACTTTCCCTCTCTCTGTCACACTCTCTTCTCCAACCATACCACATTCATCTTAAGCCTGTGATACTCTGCCACATTTATCTGTCAGATTAACCTACCTAAATCCTGTCATACTTACCTCTCCATCCCAGCAGAAGTATTTAGCTCGAGGCCGACAAGGAATTTGCCTTGGGCGGTACTTTTAGGGGGGCGGCAAAATTGGGGCCCCTGAGGACTGGCATCTGCTCTATTAGTAGGCAAGCAGCGAAGGAGTGCTGACTCCACTAAGAGACACGTGAGGGAGTTGAGCAGGAGGATTAAAAGCTCCCTCTCCGCCTGCCTCCACAGTTCGCATGTCTGCCCGCCTGCCGAGCTGCAGCCAGCCATACTGGACCTCAGGGAAGAATGAACTCCAGCACTCCGGTGTGTGTATGTCTGTTAGTGAATGTGTATGTCTGTCAGTGTGTGTCTGTCAGCTAGTGTATGTGTCTGTCAGTAAATGTGTGTGTCTGACACTAAGTGTATATATGTCTGTCAGTGTGTGTGGGTGTGTGTGTGTGTGTGTGTTTGTCAGTGTGTATCTGTCAGTGAGTATATGTTTGGCTGAGTGAGTGTGCATCTGTCAGTGAGTGTGTATGGATTTCTGTCAATTAATGCCTGTCTGTCAATTAGTTTATATGTGTGTCTGTTGGGGAATGTGTGTGTCTGTCGATGAATGTGTTTAACTGTGAATGAGTGAGTGTGTATGTCTGTGAATGTGCTTCAGTAAAATTGTGTGTTGGTTAAACAGTGTGTGTGACAATGACTGTGTGTCTCTCAGGAAGAGAAATTTTGCAGGGGTGAGGGGCGAGTTTTGTCATGCCTAGGGCAGCCCAAAACCAGAATACACCACTGTTCCTCCCACTGTCACACTCCTTCGCCTAAACATGTCACACACATCCTGCCACATTTTAGAGTGGCCTTTTATTGTGGCCAGCCTAAGGCACACCTGTGCAACAATCATGCTGTCTAATCAGCATCTTTATATGCCCCACCTGTGAGGTGGATGGATTATCTCGGCAAAGGAGAAGTGCTCACTAACACAGATTTAGACAGATTTGTGAACAATATTTGAGAGAAATAGGCCCTTTGTGTACATCGAAAAAGTCTTAGATCTTTGAGTGAGTTCAACTCATGAAAAATGGGGGCAAAAACACAAAAGTGTTGCGTTTATACTTTTGTTCAGTGTGTGTATATATATATATATATATATATATATATATAAAGAAAAAGTGAACTTGGCACTCACCCTTTGTTAAATATATCAAAAGATTCTTGCCTGGGTGCCCACCTCTGGCGTTGAAATAGAAATGAAAAATATATATAAGGTGCACTCACAGGTCTTTAAATAAGTGATGAATTTATTCCAACGTGCAAATTACATATGCCACAAAATCTATGATGATCGACGTTTCGACCCACAAAGGGCATTTTTCAAGATCGATCTTGAAAAAGGCCCTTTGTGGGTCGAAACGTCAATCATCGTAGATTTTGTGGCATATGTAATTTGCACGTTGGAATAAATTCATCACTTATTTAAAGACCTGTGAGTGCACCTTATATATATTTTTCATATATATATATATATATAATATATATATATATATGGATTATGTAATATGTGGTGAAAATGTCTATGACACTGTACATTTAGATTTTTTTCAGTCCTTCAGTATTTTGATGTCTGTGACACGGTTTTCTTATCTGTTACTTTATTACTTTATAAGTGATTTTTTGCACAACCAAAATTTTTGTTTGAATTTCCAATAACCGTTTTACAACTGCATTCAGTGGCATAACTACTGTGGTCACAGGTGTCGCAGGGGCCCGGCAGCCCTGTCAACCCCTGCAACTATGCATTACTTCAGGGTGTGCAGCCACCAGGTGACTGGCAGGGGGGAAGAGCCCAGCACAGCACTCCCCTCCTGCTGGTCCCAGCATGTAGCGCAGCCAAATAGAGGGTAGAGGGGCCTCCGTTTCCCTCGCTTAAAGCACTTCCTGTCAGATCAGATACAATGGTTTGCTCAGCCACACTACATGGAAAGTGGAGAGCAATTATAAAGATGGATGGATGGGGGAGAGACACATGGAAGGAGGTAATTGAGATACATGGAAAGGACTGGGGGGAAACTGAGACACATGGAAGGGTGACACCTGGAAGGGACTGGGGGGAATTGAGACACAGAAAAAGGACTTGGGGGAAATGGAGACACATGAAAGGGGGGAATGAGACACATGGGGAGGAATGATACATATTAAGGGTCTGGGAGGAATTGAAACACATGAAGGAGCTGGGGGGGAAATGAGACACATGCAGGGAATGGGGGGTAAAAACATGGAGGGGATGGGGGTGAGACACATGAAGGGGATAGGGATGAGAAGCTGGGGAGGAGTATGCGACACATGATGGGGCTGGGTAGGAAAGAATGAGACACATGGAAGGGCTGGTGGTATTAAGACACATGGGGGGGTGGGTCCAGATACATTTTTGCACCGGGGCCTGGCGGTTTATAGTTACACTCTGCCTGCCCTTATGTATACATGACTGCAAGACTATGCAATTATATCCCGCAATTATGTATAAACTTATTGAAAAATTAATTTAGTTTGCAAATGGTGATATAACTACGGTCAGAGAACAATGCAGCGGCACTACCACCTGCAACACTGCAAGCCTCTGAACACTGAATACAGAGACAAGCTCTCTGCATCCATCACAGCAAGCAAAGCCTACTATAGCTCCTTATTCACACTCAAACTGAAAAAGGAAGCTAGAGGAGCACTAGTATAAGGGGTTAACCCAAAAACTGGAGAAATGGTTAAAAAGGAGAAAACATGAGTGCCCTGAATGCATTAAAACATAACTTTGAATAGTAGTAATAAAACCTAGCATAGGTGTCCATAATAAGAAAAACACTATATAATAATAGTTCACTAAAGTACATGCACACTCTGATAGGTGACTGTACAAAGATAGGAAAATATGTAGAGATATCCTGTGAACTTTAAAAAGAGGATCCATGGATAGATAAGGTTCTGTTTCTAAATATACAGAAACCTAATAGGTGTATACATATACACTTACTGAAGTATACAATATAAAAAGGTTCTGTTTCCAGAAACCTTCACTAGGTGGTGTAAGCAAAGCAAAGTTTAGCAATCCCCAGAGCCTGCATACGAAATTGGGTTTATTTATTTTGCCCACTATTTGGTCGTATCAAATATAGGAAAAAATATCCCTGATAAGTGCTCATAATAAATATATATCCTAGTAGTTAGCAGGTCCTGTTCAAAAGTTTGCAGGAACCAATGCTTAAG